TGCTAAGGTTACATTTCCTGTCTCGCACTTTTAGTTTGCATTGAATGAACATCCTTTATTTTTCACTGGCAGAATTATACATTTAAACAAACACACCCAGCTTCGGTTCACTTGTTTCTCCATCATCATCTATCAAATCATCTATTCCATAGACTTTTTGTTTCCTCCCAGAAATATCTAGTTGAAATCTCTCATCTACAGATGAGATTCTTAGAAATTTCTGCTTTTTAATATCTTTACTCCCATGTTAAAGAATCTTAGAGTAGAGAGGCAACAGTAAGCATCACCTATCCATTAATTTAACTGCAATTCCATTCACATTTTAACTTTAAAATTCTTTCCATTTATGTAACTTTTAACCTGGCAATAGACACTGAAAATGAGATACACACAAAACCCCCTTTTGGCATTTTTGTGAGAAGGTAGAGATTAAGATGGTTTCCAATGTGTCTTTGTCAAGTTGTTTTCTTTGGAATGTGACTGAATGGCCAGGAGGGATGAGCTGGAGAAACTTCAATGGGCTGTTCTCATCTTTCAGCTCCCAGGTCAGACACTGCCTCTGCCCACACCATTGCATGCACCCTATGATGTATTGTGATTTCTCAGATGCTTTGTATCTTCCACCTGCAGTAGCATCTCTGCATCTCTAGCATCTCTGATTGTTTTGAGTCGCTCTGCTTCCTGCCTGAACTACTTTTGTGGACGTTAAATATTTGCTGGGTGTATGGATGCCTCATACCATTCCCTTGAAAGGAAGCTTTTATTTACAACCATCTTTGTTTCTAATATAATGGCCACCTGAAGCTTTCATCTTCGTTCTGAGCATCCAACGATACTTCTAAAAATCCCACTTCAAATGTTCCCTGGTCCTGGAAGTCTTTTCTAAGAAATCAAGCCTTTTCCTCTCCCAGCACAGTGTCTTACACATAATTAGCATCCCATAAATGGGTTCTGAATGAATAAATTAAGTCACTCAGTGGGGATTCAAATAAATTTTTCATGCTATGTATTTTAAAAAGTCTAGCTTCCATCATTAAGTATTGAGCAGCTGGAAAGGCTAGCTAGCACTGTTAGCCTTGAGTATCACCCCTAGCCGAGAAGCATATATGTAGCAAGTGGATATTTAACATTTCTCAACTGTTAATTTGTCCCAGCAAGGGTGAGGTAATGAGTCCATCTATTTCCTCTTGTCCAGGGACATCAAATGGTGACGAGCTTGAAGCTGAAAGTTTAATGAGTCCCAACTTATCTCACCTGTTCTTTGTCAGAAACTTGTTAAATTTTTTAATAATATGAATAAAGTACCAGGACACAACCTGGGATAAATATAGAGCCTTATATAAAAGCCAACAACTTTGAAATAAAAACATAAGTTCCTTGACTGATTTTCTATTCATGACATGTGAAAAGCTGAGTTGTTTAAAACACACACACACACACAAAAAAAAAACTTGATGTAATCCAGGAATTACAGAATTATAGGATTTAGGACTGAACAGGACGCAAATAAGTTATTTATTTCGTTATTCAGCTCTCATAGATCTCAAATAGCATGCTGTAATTTCAAAAGTTAAAAACTGGATAAAGATTTACATTTATATTTTCACATCAACGATATGGGCCATTTTTATAAATGGTCTTTCTTAATCAAGGTCAGCTGGTGTTATCTAGCCTGCTATTTGAAACTCTCCTATCTCAAGCCTTCCTTTCCAACTTATAATTTTAAAGATCATTTTGCTTCCCTTCCGCAAGCTGGGCAGTCTCTTACCTACACTGCACACCACTATTTCATGATACCTGGAATGCAGATACACACTGACAATTTATCCTGCTAGTAATTCAAATAATTCTCATTGGACCAAAATCATAGGCAAGTCTTTATGAACCATCACCATCTTTGGGCAATTCAAAGTTGGGTGGGGGGAGGGTGAGAAAGGGGAGGAAAAGACTGTAACTCTAACAGTTATGGAGTTTCTTTTTTGAGTGATAATAGGAAATTAATTATGGTGATGGCTATACTACTGTAAATGTAGTTTAAAAAAGGAATTGCATCCTTGGCAAGGATGAATGAGAGGGTATGTGAATTATGTAGCCCTCAAAAAGATTTGCAAACCCAAAATATAACAAAATAAGAATTAGCACTCTTTTCATGGATAAAGGACTCTTATTTTAAAAATCGGCTGATTTAGCAAAACAAGGCATTTATTCCTCTTCCAGACACTGTTGCTTTAGTTCATTTACAGTTTTATCTGTTTATCCCATGTGACATGTAATCTGAGCTCAGAGCCTCGGCAGGAAGTCCAAAACAGTTCTTTCAAACAAACTTAAAAAAAGTTTAATAACATTATCTAATGGTATATTAAAGCACTGCTTTGATGCCATTTCATGATCTTAAGCCCCTGCTTTCCACTTTGAAAAGACAGGCTTATTCAGATCACATATCTGACTTTACTCAACTTTTTTCACTGGAAAAAGTCATCCTCTTTAAGACAAAACAAGTAGTATTTGAGATATTTTTTGAACCCCAAAGTAAGCTATAGCTCTGTAGGGATTTAAACCACAAAATCCCGGGCCCTCCCTGGTGGCGTAACTGGTTAACCCGCATGGCGTGGCAGTCCTCTCCTGACCTGCCAGGTGCACCCCTCAGCAGTGTTTTTCAGTACATCTGCCTGTTCTGCTCCTCATTCTGTTTCTGGAGAATCCTGTCACCTACCACATCTCTGACCTGTACCCCAGTTCTGTATGCATAAAGAAATAAATCTTTAAAAAAATAATAAGCCACAAAATCCCATCTAACACACAAGGACAGCACTTACATAAGCCGACTTGGATAGTTCACGAATTGTTTACATGCTATTTTGTTTCTAAATTAGTCTCATGTGGATTCTATTCACCAACTCCCTCATATACCTCCAATCTACCCCAACCCCTTCACAAGATATGAAACCACACATTTGTCTCCTAAGCATTTTACATGTGTTAGATTTTACCCAACCCACTGAGGAAATGCTAAATTCCTAAGGCCAGAACTGTCAAGGTAGAATATACAGAATGCATGCATTGTACATATTGCTCAGATCTCTGCCTCACCTTTTCTTCGTTCCCAACATGTAGCTATTATATGTGACTGCCACCAAATCTTCAAAAACTACTGTCTCCAGCAAAGTCTCCAAATTCTTCAGTATGCCTACCAACTGCTTGCTTTCCTCTCCCACCGATCCTTTCTAACTCGAGTTTCAGCTGTCACCATAAATGTGAGGAATGACTCGGAGTTCCTCCTCACCCACACTGCACACTTCCAGGCGCTAGCTGTCCCATGGATGGCTCTCCCGTCTTTTGGGACTGTGTGGAGGCTTTTGTTCTACGGCCCCTTCCTTATCAGAATGTCTCCTTTTAAGTGGGCCCATGGCACACTGGTATTAAGCCATTTTTCATGACTTGACCTTACAGCACCTAGAAACCTGTCTTTCCTCGTTTAAGCTCTCTGATGTTTGAAATTTCATTTATGTAAGAATCCCCTAACAAAGCACGTGTGTGTGCCTTTCTCCCTAAACAGAGAAGTTACTCGATAAATGCTTGGAGATTGAATTATTCTTACTTTCCCTACACCAAGAATATGTGAGGCACATAGCAATTATCAGCAAGCAGGAGGAGAATTCAAATAATCAGTGTCTGACTTAAGGTCACACTAAAGATATCTTGACACACAAAATAAATTATTTTCTAAACTGTTTCTACACTGAGCTGGACTTAACACACATTTTAATTTATCAAAACAGTCACCTTAGTGGTTATATTTTTGTTTTTAGTGGTTCTTCTGGAGTAAGACTACTTTCAGCTGGGCAGTGTAAAATCATTTTTGAATCAAATTCCCTTAGATTCATTCAAGGATGTATTATTTTATTTGAACTGCCTCTGGACCAGACAGTGAAAAATGTATTAGATTATAAAATGAAGATATAAACCCTGTTCTGAAAGAGTTTATAGTATACAGTATGGTGTGGGAGATTAGGGAAAATCTCAAAGAATCTGGGTTTGGTACTTCAGAAAAATTGGTACCAATTTGATCTATATTGATGAATCTGGAAGTACTTTAATATGTACTCTCTAAAATGGGGAGTGTAAAATATAAAAATTATACTATTTATGTTTCAATGTGAACTACACTCAAATAATAAATAAAATTGGTCCTAAAAGACTTGACTCTATCCCCTATGTTAAAAATACCTATATTTAAAGACTATATTTTATTTAGATTTAATTACATACTTAGGAAAATACTTCTAATTATAACTCTTAATAATATACAAAGTTTAGGACACCAAGCCCAAACAAGTTATAATAATGTAAATGTGTAAAGTCAAATCAGATTAAGCAAGAAACTTACTGTGCCCTTAAAAGTATTTCCTCCTGGAACTGTGATCTCTGTAACTCTTACCTCCATAACAAACTAAAATCTAAATCCATGACAATAAAGTTCATGGAGAACACTATCCTTCTGGTGACTAAAATTGTTACTGAAAATAACTTTCATGAGAACATTTATTAAGAAATCCTCCAATTAATTTCATTGTTAGAATGCAAGAATATGCTACACACATGTATGCTTTCATTATGCTAAAAGTTCTCTTTTTTAAACCACATAAATTTTTAACATGCATTGGCCCAAGATTCTACTTGTGACTCAGCTTCTTAATCTGTGTTGGAGAGATGAAGAATTCACAAGTAAATGATATAATCTCACTAAAAAAAAAAAAAAAAAATTACATTCTAAACTTGTGGTTACCTGACATCTTGAATAAACATGCCAGCTTTCCTCCATTGTTTATTGGGTGATTATCTAGGCTCTTTGGGTCATCTTTTTCAGAGTCAAATGTTGAAGTGTTTTTGTTAAAATGTGTGAAATCACACGAGCATCGCAGTTACAAACTCTAAAAACCAAAGGAAATGACAGCGATTGTTAAGATTATGTTTTATTTAAGTATACATATCATAAAAATTTGAGCTCATAAAAATATGCCCCATATTAAATAACCTTAGTGATACATAATTACTGATGTTTATCACCTCCAGTCCATGAACATACAAATCCTTTTGGTCCCTGGACCTCTTTGTTTCTACTTCTGACACTGGATGCAGAACACAGGTGTCCTGTGGGGTGGGGCAGGGACTCACGGGTCTCCATGATCACGGTGGTGCTGAGAGGCTTTCAGCACTATAGCCACGCTGTTCAAAAACGGTGAGGGAATCAGCACTGTGGGTGGCCTCTGTGAGGTTTCTACATGAAGTGTATTCCATACCACTGAAGAATTAACTCCTAGCCAGCTGCACCTAAGTTGCTTAACTAATTCTGAGTCCTTTCAGGCCACATCAATATCCAGCTTCCAGTTTCCACTCTTTAAAATATTTCTCCATTGTTCTCCTAGATGCTGAGGTGCCGACATTCACGGTGGGGATGATTTTCTGGGGCTTCAGCCACTGAACAAAGCGTTTCATTTCTTTGTAGCTGCTGTGTTCACTATAAGGAATTCCTGCAACACAAGAGAAAAAATACTGTCGATAAAAAATCTAGTTAATTAAAAAAAAAAATGTCAAGCTTAAAATAAAATAAAGGGGCCCTCCCTGGTGGCGCAATGGTTAAAGCACAGCACTAAGAAGCTAAAGCCACTTCAGGATCCCCTCCCAGGAGGTGACCACATGGCGCGGCAGACCTGCCCACTGCTCCTCTCAGCAGTGTATTTCTTCTCTCTGCCTGTTCTGCTCCCCACTCTGTCTCTGGTGAATCCTCTCACTACCCCTGCACCCCTGGCCTGTACCCCAGTTCTGTATACATAAATAAAATCTTAAAAAATAATAATAAATAAAATAAAGGAGAGAAGAAAAGCACTGGAGTATTTTTGTTCAAAACCCCTTGGTACTTCATTTATGATAAGGAAATTTGTTAATATCTTTTAGAGTAATAGAAAAACTTACAACATTGAAAAATTCAATTACTTTTCTTTGTAGGTATACAAAGAAGTGGGCATTTGTAGAGATTCTTAATTATAATTAGGCTTTCATTCTTTTTATGGATCAAGAAAATACGGTATACACACACTATGGAAAACTACTCAGCAATCAAAAAAGAGAAACTTGTGCCATTTGTGGCAACATGGACGGAGCTGGGAGGGATCATGCTAAGCGAAGTCGGTCAGAAGGGAAAAGCAAAACATCAGCTGGTTTCATTTATAGGAGCAATATAGGGGGCGGCTGAACAATGGATCAGGAAAAAGGCAACATTGGCAGGCAAACCATAGACCCGAGGCATGTGGCAGGGAGGGGGAGGGAGGTCCAAACAAGGGAGGGAAGAGTACACGAGACTGTGGTGACAGCGGCCGCTGTGGTGGTGGGACAATTACGGGCTCTGCACCTGAGGGGAGAAAGTCATTCTTTTTTAAACACTTGGCTCAGCTATGGGTTTCAAGAAAATCCTGGATGAAACAGGAGTAAAATTTGAGGAATATAAAGTAGGAAACTCTTGATTTGCAAAGCAAGTAAGTAGATCTCAGCCCCCAAGCTTCGCACACATAAAAGTAAGCAAAAAGAAAACAAATTGAAGTCCTGAAAGTCACTTTATCTTCTTCACTAAGGACCAGGTCCTCTTCTTCAGAGGCTGACAGCCACTGGTCAAGACATCAAAACTATTCCCATTGGTCATTATAATCAATTTCTGAGAAGAATGACAAACCTCCTCCAAGCAAGAAAGACAAGCCTGAAATGCCTGCTGTTGTCTTCTTTTGGTTTCATGGTGTCACCTAACCTTCCAGTAAACACATGCCCCTCCCCCCCCCCAAGGTCAACCTCTTCTACAATTTCCTCTGGTATCACTGATCCCACAAATTAAACGACCCAGACTAGTCACAGACCTTCCGGTCAGGTCACAATGCGCTACAGATACAGGTTGAGCGTGTGCAGAGCAATTTGAAACTCCTGAATTGTTAAAGATTCTGTTCTACCAGTTCTCTCGGATCTTAATTTTATAGTTCTTTTTTCTTTTTAAGTGCAAATCAATTACAAACATTAAAAACTTAATAACCATACCATATATTGAAATGTTTCCTTTGGTCTGGGGAATGATGTCCGATACACTAGTAAACTTATTAGAATGTGTCCAACCTGTGGGTCTAAAAGCCAAAATTTGATCATATTTCCTACCACACTTCTCCAAATGGCTCTGTAAACCCTGTTTAATAAAAATAAGATATTGAATGGTTAGTGAAAATGCGTTATGTGGAATAAAACAGAATGACTGGAGATGCATAAGTCACAGGGAGTTTTTACTTGGTCAACATTAGCTTGCAATCATTCAGTGCTGTGTCTCCAAAAACAAAACAAAACAAAAAACAAAAACCATTTCCCCCTTTACTATCTAAAATTAGACAAATACTGTCTTAAAAACAGTATAATGAGACAAATTTAAACATCAGTACATTAAACAATTACAACACAGAGCTACAAAGACAAAACAAAATAAAATTGCAACTCACACACCTCTCCAGACCCTACTGGGACATTAGCTAACCTATTAGGATATTAGAGACGCAGATGTGAACACAGGTCTAAGCAACCCCCCCCCCCCAATATATAATCCCATGCAGATGTGCCGACAGAGTGTCAACAGATGCATATCAAGACAGTAATGGCTTAATAAAATGCATCACACTCAAAAGGGACATATTCTGAAGATGTTTACTCCTTTTCGCCCTTTAAACATGAACGCTAATCACTTAAAAGCTTTTCATGCTGTTACAACTGAAAGTAATGTTTCCCTAATAAGTTTTGTGTAGAATTTTCCAAACTAAAGCCATCATAAGTGATGACATCTGAAACAATTCTTAGGAGATCAATGAGCAAAGTATTATCTTTGAAAGATAAGAGAAATCCAAGTAAGATAAAAACGTCATGAAGGATACCAAAAATACTTTCTTTGTATCTAATATTTTTGGTGTTTAGACTAAACTCAGAATTTCGAAGGATTAGTGTAAATTTATAATAAAATCTTAGTTTGTGTTTAAAATTAAAAAAAAAAAACTACAGATAGTGTCATCTTGGATGTCCAAGTCTCTTTTCTTTTCTTTAATTAGATGTTCTTGGAACTATTAAAATGTTCTAAAAGATGTTGGTATTAAGTTATGAAGAAAACAAAGACAAATTCATTCTTTCATCTACTTATTTGGTCACCCAGTAAGTATATTTCAGTATTATGTCATGCCCTGCTGTCTATGTGGTGGAAGAGAGACAGCTTTCAGTTCCTGGAAAAGTTTATAGTCTTGGGGGAGATGTCAGCAAACCCTACCTCCTGGGTATTTTTAAAATGAAAACCATCTGTCCTCCTTAACTTTTCATAACTCTCATCATCTATAAGCTATTTTGAAAAGCTCTATACAAGTTATTTCATGAACTGACAGCAAATAATTAAAATACCTTTTCATACACATTATAACTGAGTGGTTTTAGTATACAAGTTTGATGTATTCCATTGCTAGGTGTCCAAATGCTAGAGAAAGGACTAAATCTTAGCATGAATAAATGTAACAAATACACCCCTAAATCACAGGGAGCTCTTGTCATATGCATCTCAGTTCATGCCCCAGGACTCTCTCTTGGACTTGCTTTCACGATTTCATTCAATCCTCACAATGAGCACATTTCCAACACACATCAACAATATGGGGGTTTAATATTAATACAGAATACCACCATCACCTCCCCCCCAAGTAAGAATTCAGATTCCCCACTCCTCGCCCACTCTCCCAGGAAGATCTGGAAACAATCTCAGAAGCAGAAGGTATGAGCAACCAGAGTGTTGCATGCTGTTCTGTGTTTCTTCCTCTATAACAGCTCTCTCTTTCCTGAACTTCTGCTGGCATCTGAGTCATTTTATTCATCTGAACACACAAACAAACTAAAAGCATATTCAGTTCTCCTTAAAAGATTTTCCAGAGTCAAGTTTACTACTGGTGACTTTACCACCACTGCACTCCAAGTGCAGGTGAGTGAGGCTCCAGTTCCCGGTGGTCAGACTACCTTTTCCCGGCTCAGCTGGAGGCGCAGGCCTCTGGAACGCTTACCTTAAAGGTAATTTGCATCATCGGGAGAAGATGGACCAGTGAACTGCACATGTCCGTAGTGATGAGAGATTTAATTTCGGGTATATTGAGGCACTGTAATGTTTTATATTTTTCTTGGGACATTCCCACTTTTGACCCTAAAACATCAGCAATGGCTATAGGCAAAGGAAAAGGTAAAAACAGTAACATTACAGATTACAGATTATGAAACATAATATAATTACAACATAAGCAACTTTTACAATAGGAATTTACCAAATAAAAAATAAATTCAAAAGCATTCACACTGACATAATATCAAAAGGCTGAATAATTCTTTTGGTTAACTGTCTAGGAAAATGTAAAACAAAAAAATCTACTTTTGAAGGCCTGCTATTTAAAAATTGCAAAATATTTCCAGAAAGGGGTAGGAGGAAAAGAACTGAATATATAGGTTTTATTAATTCCTGCCTTAAGATTTGACATCATATGATCATAGTTAAGAAGCAGTTAAGTTCTTTGCAAAACAGTACATGACTACCTAGACCGGCTATAGTCACTTGTCCAGAAATTATCAAACAACAGAAATTAAACCTGTGCTCCACAATGACCTCATGGTTATCCAGAAGAATGAAGCGGCAGAACTATGCACTCGTCACCTTTCAAAGTTTATCAAAAAACAAACTGTAGCATGGGCATTTGCTCCATAAACATCTGACAGATACAAAGGCCACCATAAACACATTTATCACATTTCCGTTAAGTTAAGCCTTTCAAATTTTAAATGAATCCAACTCCATTAAACCTTTCCTTCTATTTCAAAGGTCATATTTGATCCACTTCAGGAAATAATTATCAAGTGCAATAATAGAGCCTGAAAGGACTTTATGCAAAAAGAATCTGCTCTTTATAATATATTAATGTAAATTAGATACAGTCACCTAGGAAGACTTTCTCTTTTCCAATAGAATAAGTACCACAGACCACAAGAGCACGTGGGTTTAGGGTTACAGCCTCAAAGGCAGTGTTGATGGCAAACTGGATAACCTCTTGCTGAGACGGAAAGGAGTATTCTGGGCTGCAATACCTGTAATGTGGAAATATGGTACTTATTAAAAAAAGAACAAGAAAGCAATAGCATTCAGTTGGATGCACTTTTATAAAACAGGCTCTGGCAAAATTATATTCAATGGCAGTAGGATATATTAACTCCACTGCATATCTCACTGTCTGTGATTAAAATATTTGTTGCCAGCTGGTCATCTTTTCTGATGATCAATCTACCTTTTCATTCTATTTCTTTTTAATATACTATTTTCAATATATTTCTTTTATCACCCTCAAATTACGAAGCTGCCTTTTTTTCTTTAAAAATATTTCTGGCCAGGCAGCTATTTTAATTATGAACTATAAACCTCAATATCTTTTTTAAAACCCCATTCACAATCAAGAAACTACCACTGACAGAGATTATCTTTGGACTAAAGAATTTTGATTTAGTACTAAAAGAATAATTAAAATAATGAAGCTAAACAAACTTAAGGAAGTAATTTTAAAATGTTAATATTCTCATTGTCCTTTCCTTGGGAAATACAGAACTATATATAGTATTACAAGAAGCCAACAGATTTGGGCTTTCCTCAATACACCACCACCGAGAAAAGATAAACCCTAAGACTCCTACACATATTTGAAAGTATTAATGTGTAATAAAAAGATGACTTATACTGTTATGCTTATACTAATGAGGAGTTCAAAGCTGTCTCTTATAATTAATTATCTTTTGGAAAAAGGAGCAAAATGACTGGACTAGTCAGAGGCAGAATTGCATTCTGGTCACTGTTTTTCTCCCCATAGTCATACTTTATTGTTACATAGACACTCTGAACCTAAAAGGATGTGTTCTTGAAGTTGGCCCCCCAATTTTTCTTCCTTGTCACATTAACAAGAGTCTCACGTAAGATACTCTTTCAAAAGGAAATCAAAAAATGTGAGCTGTCCTAAGTTAAGACTATGTCATCCCAAATTTGTGCTTAAGCAGTGCATACTATTTTTTCAAAGAGCATCCCTCTGATAAAATAGCCTTAAAATAATGATCAACAATAATAACGTTGATGATCTCATCATTTTGATGACCGAAGCAAATACTCTAATTAATTCAGAGTATATAGGGGGAACGCTATCCGCGGGAAAAGTTAGCACAGGAAGCCTCTCTCACGTGGTATCCAGGTAAAGCGTGTGGACTTTTTGGCCTGCCAGGAAAGAACGCTCCATGCTGGGGTCCGCCCTGAAGTCGCCGGTGTGTAAGATGACGTTCCCATTCGGAAGATAAAAAAGGATCATCACTGCGCCTGGACAGCTGAACAACACATACAAAGGAATGCTCTTTACATGGGCAGAACCCCGAGGGGAGGGGACTAACTTCAAGATGGGCATGTGAAAACACTTTACCAGCTGACTACAGTGGCAGCAATGCACTGTGAGGAAACAGCACTCACTGATATTTATGGTTAAAAGAGATGGTAGAGAGGAACGGATTAATCCAGCAGGCCTGGAGTACTCACACTAGTCCATTCCCCCAGAGAGGCCTGACTTTGGGGCTGGCCCTTGGCTGGCCCTAGCGGATGAGTTCGGAGTCTCTGGACCACCCTGCTGATCAGAGCATCCCCTGTGGCTGACACAGAGGGCCCATGACTGGTTTGATCAGCTTATGCGAACAGTGTGATCTCTGGTGAAAACCTGTTTTTGTTCTAGGGGACTGAAGTCGCTGAGGTCAGTCACCTGGCACTGCCCCATGCACACGACTGACACATAGCGACGGCCCTGGACACCACGGCTCTGGGAGCCGGCGGAGCTGGCCACACTTCTCATGCTCCCCTGCACTGTTGCCGGGAGAGCAGGTGCATCTGCACTGCTGCACGAGGCCAGGGCTCCCGGAGCCTGTGCGGGGTTCTCCTGGCGCTAGGCCCCACGGGCCTTTTCTTCTCCTTTGCTGATTTTGATCTGCACCCTTCAGCTATGAGCTGCTAGGGCCATGACGAGTATGTCAGCTTTTCATGCCCTGTCAGTCCTTCTAGTGAGTCAATGAACTAATGGACGTTTCTGGGGATCTCTGATGCAATTGGGGTGTGGAAATTACTGCTCAGAGATATGGAACTTTCATTCTGAATTCGAGAAAAGCACAGGGAAAATTATTTAACTTGTAGTTAAAACCACCCCCTTACCTCCCCACCCCAAAATTCAGATGCCAGTGACTTTACTGAGGAATTCTATCCAGTATTTGCAAATATTTCAGAACATAGAGAGAACATAATACTTGATGAGGCCAGCATTACCCTGACCTCAAAACCAGCAATTATGACCAACATGTATCATGAAAACAGACACAAAATTCTTTAACAAAATATTAGCATATTAAATCCAGCAACATATTTATGAAAGAGCATACATGAAGAGCAAGGGCGGTTTACCCTAGACGCAAGGCCGGGTTACTTTCAAAAGCTCATCACTGGCATTTACCAGGCTACAGTGTAAAGGAGAAAAGCTAGATGTTCATTTCAGCTAGTAGGGAAGCCTGTAACAAAATTCAACACCCTTTCGCGATTACGAACTCTTCGGGAACAAGGAACAGGGTCACTCTGTCCACCTGATAAAAGGCAGCTCTGAAACCTGCTGCTACTGTCTTGCTGGATGCAGAGTGGCGGAGCGCTCCCGGGAAGACCAGGGGCGAGGCCGTGTCGGCTCTCACCAGTGCTACTCAGCACTGCCCCGAAGGGCGGAACCATGCAACAAAAGAAGACGACGCTCTCGAACGGAAATTAAGAAGTAAAACTGTCTTGATTCAGTAGATCTGGAATGTACCTGCAGAACATTTGCAAGGACCTACCAAAACCAAACGCAACTAATGAGCCAGTTTAGCACGGTGCTAAGACACAAGACCCACAAGCAAAAATCAGCCGCCCATGGGGGGTGGGCGGGGCGAGCCAGCGGCCCACGGAGCTCGTGCCCAACGGGGAGGGTGAACGGCTGCTCGCGGGCGGTGTGGGCAGATCTCAGACACGGGGTGACGGGAGCCGGGCACGAAGAGACGCTGTGTGACTGCATCCAGATGAATGCCCTGGAAAGGCAAGTCTAATCCACAGTGACAGAGAACAGGCCAGTGATTTCTCGGCCCCTCAAGTGGGTTGGGGACTTGGGGCTAGGGGAAAATGTTCTGTATTTTTATTGGAACATCCACACGTGGATTCAACAAATACTTAGGATGGTCTATTTTATTTATGTAAATTAAACCTCAATAAAGTCAACTTGAAACTAATTAGACTTCAAGTTGTCATATTCAGTGATTGAAAAAAGAAAACGGTAGCACAGTTAACAAACAAAACTGAAAAACAACCTAAAAAATAGCACTGGCTTTATTTCAGGGGACCTAGATTTCAGTTTTAATTTTAATTCTCTAAGCATCTATGACCTCTAAGATTAGGGAGGTTAACGCTCAATGGAAAATAGAAAGAAGCAAAGTTGATAAATCATTTTAGGAACATGAATACTGACAGTATTTTATCATTAAAAAGAATTAGGGGGAGACCACATCCAAGAAAGAAATCTTTAAGTCTTTAGTATCAAAAGCCTGATGGAGGCCCTCCCTGGTGGCCCAACGGGTTAGGACGCAGCACTGCAAGCTCGCCGCAGCCACCTCAGTGCGAGTTCGATCTCCAGCCCCGGAGGTGACCCACACGGCGCGGCAGACCTCTCCTGACCCGCCCGCTGCTCCCCTCAGCAGTGTACTTCGTGGATCTGCCTATTCCACTCCCCCACTCTGTCTCTGGGGAAGCCCCTCACTGGCCCCTGCACTTCTGGCCTGTACCCCAGTTCTGTATGCACAAATAAATAAACCTTTTTTTTTTTTTTTAAAGCCTGAAGCAATGCTTAAGGGGGAAAAAATCACTCTACTTGAATAGAATACAAGCTGTTAATTTATGTAAGTGACACTAAGGAAAACAGAACAGCAGAACATTTTAACATGTTAAAAATACTTAAAAAAAAAAGATGGAGTCTCATATGTCAAGCATAGTAATTTTAACTGGATTAAAAAAATGGTTAAATAACATTTTGAGGATCACTCTACATTTAATTTCTCATATTCAGTAATTGAGGTTTTTTCCAAAATGAAAAACATGTTTTACTTGTTTAAAGAAATCTGACACATACAAGTTTTTAATAAAATGTTCTTAAATAATAACACCAAGGTGTTCTTTTGAATATTAAAAAAATAGGCTACTATAAAGATTACTGTCATACTTACTGGTTGGCGTCCAGCAAAACAACATTGATACCATTCACTGTACATGCAGTGTCCATTGGCAACGGATGGATATATTGCTCTTGCACATGAAGTTTGCTCTTCAACAAATTGCCAGTTATCTGCGAAACAGGATGTGCTTATTACTGATACAGTAAAACACCAACGTCTTAGACGGCATCTAGTTTAGAACCCAAGCATGTTAACAACCTCCCTGTTCTGCCACCTGCATTCCTAAAATGAGTTACAAATATGTCACTACTCTCCCTCTCGGGAAAAGTCCATCCTCCCCGGCATCTATAAAAAATCACTTTAAGATCAAGCCCCCCACCCATTTCTGCAGATTTGTCTGCTTTTATTACCTATTGTGGGGTGAGTGGCTCTGAGTTACCTGAAGAGCCTGGAATGGGTTTCTCGGGCACTGTGCCATTACACAAACGACCCTCTTCCTGGCTCAAAGGACCCAATTCTGGAGCAGGCTGATCCGTGTTCAGATTCTGGCTCTGCCATCATCAGCTCTGTGTCATGCGGTATACACTAGGCCCCTCCTAGCCTCAGTTGTTCGAATAACAGAAAGGAGCTAACGAAAGAGTGTGGTGAGGATTATAGAAATTTCTTACCGAAGCCTATGAACACAAAAGTGTTCATCTTTTAATGATTAGTTGGAGGCCTTGGTTGGGACAGTTCTCCCTCCTCTCTACCTCAGGTGTTCCATTCACATTTCCACTAAACACACTCACTTTCCCACCACAATGCTTATCCCTGGTGTTATTATTGGAGAATGTTTCCCGAGGGCTGTAAGCACTTCCCGGTGAGGTGTTTTGCCTCAAATATCCTTTTAGGTTACCCAATGCATGCTCACTGAGTGAAAGTTAGGTATTTTTCAATCTATCATGAAGTAGTTTATCTGTTACGTCCATAGAACAATGCACATTTTAAAAATATAACTAACGACAGCTCGTTAAACTTTAGAATCTCCATATGGAATCTTTTTATCTTTTCTAGTAAAATAATAGATCTTAATAATTTTCAATAGTACACTTTTTTAACCAAATGGCATAGGAGTTCACTGCATTCCACAAACTCAGAGTTCAGAAAACTAGAACTTACCTCACTACAATAAATTGGCAAGGTGAAGTGTTTAGACAGTCCAGCGTAGTGGTCAGAGTGAAAGTGGGTGAGAAAATAAGCAGTGCAGCCTTCCACCAGCCCGTACTGGAAGGCGTCTACGGTAAAGCCAGTCCCTGCAATGAAACCAACGTGCCAGCTGCAGTGACGGCTTGCGAAGTGAACAGACCTCCATGACTGTAAGTTGTGACCCTCTCACATCACTACAGCTCATTTCCAATTTAACTCCATAATTAAATTGTAAAACTTACAGGAAAACAGTGACACTAACGGTGAAAACGGATATGTTGCTTCCTCCTGAATACCTTAGTATAAACTATATCTTATGAGTAACTATACAAAACAAAATTAAAATACTACGCTACAAACCAGTTACTTGTCCTGAACATATTCACAGTATTTACTGGGAACCTAAAGTCCTTTACTTCTGCAAAACAACTAAAGGAGAATGCTAACTTCTGAAGTAGAAATTCCTGATGGGAGTGACAGTGATTTGTTTCTATGAGGGCAAAGATGGTTGAAGATTCAAGTTACCTGACACATTACAATAGTTTGTGGTCTTCTGAAGGGCCACAATACCAGAGACATAGTAAAGACGTAGTTCTCTGGATATCATGGTGGGGCAGGGAGGCTGGGAGGGAAGCTATGCACACACACACACAGAAACACACACACACACACAGTATATGTGTCTACAAAAGTCTCCCTAGAGGAGTAATTAAAAAAAAAAAAAAGTATGGGGCTGTTCTGAAATGTGTTCATGAAAGAAATTACCCAGTGTGCAAAGCGGGGTGTACAAGGAAGGTAGAACTCCACGAGTCTGTTGAGGTTCATCAGCACATGGCATAGTAGCATTAAGCCCACTTAAAATACAGAAAAGTAATCAAAATAATCACTCAATACACAATTGGTATGATGATACGCATGAACGCCTTTCTCTGTATGAAGATTCTGAACAAACCACAGACCTATCATATCAATAATGGACTAGAAATGGCCTGTGAAAGACACAGGCACTTGAAACAATGCTCCATATCATTTCTTGTAAGAGAACTGCAAATTGAAACCACCATGAGATATTAACTCACTCCTGTATGACTAAGAGGTCAATGGCCAACATCAAAAAGATTGGAAAACAAAAGGAGAAAGTGGAACTCTTCCACTGCTGATGGGAGTGTAACTTGGTGTCATCTCTGTGGAAAATGGTATGGGGATGCCTCCAAAAAACAAAAAAGGAAATGCCATATGTTCCAGCAGTACCATTTCTAGATATTTATCCAAAGCTTATGAAAACACTAATACGACAAGATCTCTGGGCTATGCTCACAGCAGTGCTACCCACAATTGCCAAGTCATGGAGCCAACCTAAGAGCCTACCAACAGATGACTGGAAAAAGAAACTGGGGGACGTGGACTCTACAGCACACTACTCAGCTACTTAAAAAGATGAAATAGTGCCTTTAAGGATGAAATGGATGGACCGTGAGGTGATTATTCGAAATCAAATAAGTCAGAAAGTGAAAAACAGTTACCAGCTGGCCTTGCTCATTTGTGAAATATACACAGCCAAAGAAAACAAACTGGAAAATCATACCAAAAAATACTTCTTACACTCTGTGAAAAATATAATGGTTCTCAGGGAGGAACGAGGGGATGAGGGGGCAAGCAACGGGCCACTGGCACCCAGGCCTGGAGGAGGGTGAGAAGCAGGCACACATGTGGTAATGTGAAGTTAGTGTGTAATCCCAAACACTGTTGTATAAATGACTGGCAAGCCGGTAAAATTGGGGAGAAAAATCTTCCTGAAACCAAGCATGTCTTGGTAGTTTTTTTTATACAGTTTTTCAGAAAAGTTAACGGTTTCTTCAGTAAATCCACTTCCCCCACATATTGTTTTGAATGTGACCAGATATGGGCAGTAACACAACAGCTATCTATGTGACCAGATATGGGCGATAACACAATGACCGGAACTGGGCCTTGCATCCATGGACACGTCAGCTTTCTAGAATCTGAACCTAAAGCCTATATAAGAGACACTTTCCCCTATACCACTCGCAGTAGCTGTGGACCCCACCCTAGGGAGCTCCTTCTCAGCCTGCTGCCTGGGAGCAATAAATACTTGTTCAGCCTTTCTGCCTCCAGTCCTTCTTCCTTGCGGCCGGCCACAAAAATTGGGACAAAACAGTTTTACTAATTCATCTATAAAGGCATGAGAAGTTACAACACTATACAAAGGCTGAGAAGCTAAATTCTAGTGATTTAAGTTTTTTGGCACGTCTTATGACATGTACGGCCTGTGGTATTTTCTTTGTTTAAAACTATTTAGCACTTTGTATTTCTCTTCCGTGCTACAGACATCCTTTTATTACTGCACAGAACCTTTCCACCTTCTGGATTAAGCTGATGTTTACTAATCTTTGTCAAATGTTTAATCTACCTAATTAGTACAGGATCTTGCATATAAATGCTTATTAAAGTTTGCTTAATGGAATGGAACAGAAAAGATTAAGCATCTATGCTACAGACTAGTGAAGTATTATTAAAAAGCAAAAGCATATGAGACATATGCGAAGAGTTGTTCCTATCTACCCCCACCCCGTTCACTCTCTCTGGCAAAGACCATAAAATTTAAATCAATTGATCCTTTATATTTAGCACTAATATTTCAACTTACCAGGTATTTTCTTATAGAATGGACATGTCCTTTTTCTTATTTCGCTCATGTTATATGGCTCTGGAATTTTCATGTTCCCTCTCGGCAGCCTGCGACAAGCTGGTATGTCTCTACTTAAAGTGACTGCTTCAGATTCTGTATTGGTAAGGCGACCTGACCTCTTCTGATATGCTCCTTCCTGCAGTGAATCTGATTTTTTATGTCTCTTTCTTTGATGTTGTGACCTTGGACTAGATAATCCCACAGACAGCTGACTTTCATTTAAATTCTGTGCATCAAATTCTAAATCACTTAAAGACTTTTCTGCTTTCCTCTTACACTGCCGGGTCTTTGTTTGATTTGGATTTGAATTCATCGCTTCTAATGCACTTTCCCCCAGCATTTTCTCTTCCTTTTTCTTAGGTGGTAGTCCAAAATACACACCAATATCCATTTGTTTCATGGCCTTGGCAGATGGGTGTGCTGCATTAGAGGTAGGACAGGATGGTGGTGTTTTCAAAGGCTTAGCAGCAGCAGGAACACTAGAAAATTTCTGTGTCTTTGACACTGTACTGTCCAGCATGCCATCTAATGCCTTTCTGTAGAGACATTTTGTATTAGCATTATTCTTAGTACTGATGTTCTTACTTGGTAATTTTCCAATTTTACTTGGGGTTGGATGGAAAGAAAGACATCCTTCTCCCTGGCTTTCAAAAGGTTTTGACATTTCACTCTTAAATAAGGGAAGGGAAATCTGATCATAAACAGCTGATTCTTCAACTACCTGTTTCTGTTTACTTGAGAGCAGTTCCGGCTGGTCCACTTCTGTGTTAGCAGCTGGATAATTAGAGATAGGTCTCTCTACTAACGCAGGTGGAAACAACAAAAACTCACCATTAGGAGATGCTGGATCATCACTGAAACTACTACTCTCATTCCGGAACCTAACTGGAGATGAATCATTTAGAGGGCTGCATCTGTACATTTTTTCACTGTATTCATCTTGAGTTAAGCTATTTACTTGGGGGCCATTCTCTTTCTGGTCTGAGAGACCGTGGCGTTTAACCAATGTGAAGCTGTTGTCATCTCCTAGGCTGCCATCTTTAGAGCTTTCTGTAAAAAATAGATCCTGTTGGGCCTCAGTCAGCTCTTCTCCATCAAAAAGTTCTTCATCACTTTGTAGTGGAGAATAGGAAATTTCACCGTTGCTTAAGTCATTTTCTGGCAATGACAAATTCATGTGTTCTGAGCTGTTTTGGCTGCCTAATTCTTCAGCAAGGGGCAAACCCACTACTAGTTTGCCATTATTAACAAATTCTGTAAACTGAGGAACTTGTGGGGAGGTTTGGCTATTTGTAGAAGAGGAAATCTTTTTATTGGTTTCAGCTGGAGACTGAGATTTTCTTAGACGCTGCGTCACCAACCAGGCATCAGTTGAAACACTTACGTTTTTGGTTTGTTTCTGATACAGAGACCATCCTCCCTCTGGGTCACAAGGAAAGACGGAATCAGTTTCAGCAAAACTGCCAGCTGGCCTGTGGGCTGGACTGCTGAAAGGACTATGACTAGCCCTGCTTTGAGCCAGGAGGAGGTGAGTGTATTTCTTGTAATGAGAAGGAATAGTTGAAGTACATAGAAGACCATCAGGACACTCTGAAAATTTTAATAAGGAAAACTGTGTCACATTCAAAGGCCAGAATAAGCTTTGACAGCATTATTCCACTAAATAAGCACTTAAGGAAGAAGTCATGTCTCACATTAAGGCTAGGGGACAAGTTATCTTTACGTAATGAAAAGTCAGCAAAATGTCACTTATCCAGTATTCTTTGCAGAGTGCTGTTTATTATCAATACTCAATACTCAAAATTCAAATACTTGTAAATTTCTTTTCAAGAAGCTTTCCTCAAAAATAACTTTTAAAACAAACACCTCCTTCCCCTCTACTCCCAGAATTATTCACAAATGAGCGTGTTGAAAATATATCTCATGGGGCCTTTCTGATGGCACAAGGGGTTAAGTGTCAGCACCAGGACGCTATCTGCAGCCTCTGCAGCACCCATTCCATCCCTGGGCAGGGAGCAGCAGGGTGCAGCCCACCTTGCCTATGTCCCCTGCTACTCCCTTCAGCAGTATATTTCAGTGGCTCTTCTTGTTCTGCTCCCCACTCTGTCTCTGGTGAATCCTCTCACCCCCCTGGCCTACAGCCCAGCTCTTCTATGCATAAATAAATAAATATTTAAAAAACAAACAAAAAAAATGCATAGCATGTATGCACTAAATATTTCTTAAACAGGCCCTAAAACTTGATATCATCAGTTTGGCTAGTAAGCTATATTGCTCAGGCAAGAAAGTATAAAAAAACTGGATCTACTCACACAAAACTAACGTTCTACTTCAACTTGCAACTGGAGTACCAAATTAGGTTCTATTATTTAATATTCATACTATACAATAATAACAATACTCTTAAATAGTTGTAGGTGTTCAAACCCTGAACATTTTAGATGTACTGATAGGCAATTTGACAACTGGTCGACAAGATTTTAATTCCCTGGAAACTATTCCTTGTCATACTGTTATGATAGAGAAATGTCAGGTTGGTATATGCCCTTACATGTGAATTTCCAGATTTATCAAAACATGTCCCCCTTACCCCAGGATGTTAATTAGAAAATGTCATTACTTAAAGGAACTTTAAACCACATCAAAAAAGTATTTGATATATAGAGTAGAATTTAATTCAAGGACAGTTCACCTGAAATTCTGTTCAAAGAAGTTAGTGTCAACTCAAAAGAAGTCTCTGAGAGGTGGTTACAGATATGAGATTTCATCCTAAGGTGGTCACCAAGAGACTCCAACTTCCAGTTCTGTTTTTTAGCCACTTAAAATGAAATTACAACCCCTTGATGGGGCTTTCATTTATTGCACTTTTACAAGAAAGGCAATGCAAAAAATTTTTTAAATTCTTTTGCATATTCATGCAATATTTCAAAACAGAGCTTGAGGTTAATAACAAAATGTCTTCTGAATCATAGTTAACACAAAAGCCATACGGAGTATTATTTTTATTTTGCTGAATTTTAATTCTTTGATATTTAAAATGTATTTATTATATATATGATAACTTTGAAATATACAAATCATCATAACAACTATTTCCATATGTTCCAGGTAGGATTTTTTATATGCTAAACATGACATTTATCATATATTTTAAAGAATAATAAAAACATAGCATTACTTCAGTTATCATTTGGGAATTTTTATGATTAGAATCCTAATAACCTAAGATTACTTCCCTGTTCTTCCTGTACATTACCATGATGAATCCAACAGAACCATATTGAGAAGATGACACTATACTCAGAATATTCTAAGTCAGCGTTTTAAGATAACAGAATGGTCAAGCTGTTTACCTTCTAAAAACTGCATCTATAAAATGTCAATCCACTTATGAGGTTGTTGTGTCAAGAAGCTAAAAGGAAAGCATCTTGAATAGTGTTCAACTGGCATTTATGACAATCAGTTGTGCTATGGAGAGACTCTTATGAAATAAACCAATGCAGTAAATTGTTTTTAACTTTGCAACTTTCTTTACAATTGTGTTATCTTTTCAAACCCATCTGAGGAAGAATAAAATGCATGACCAGATTCCTTCAAAGGTAAGACACTTATATTTGTAGTGTCTCATCTCCCGTTTGGTTTATTACTTCCTCTATGCATTTCCCTGAGCTAGACATCTGGCCTAATGCAGGTCTTTCGGACTATTTATTGGCTATTATAATTTTTTAATCTTACCTGTTTCAGAAACCGGGGGAGAATCCAAGCATTCAAAGACATGCCATCGAGGTGTCTGACCCAGCAATGAAGAAAAAGGCATTTGGCAGTTTGGACAGTGTCCATCATAAACTGGACGTATCTTTGGAGATGCTTGGTTTCTTTGAGTCTTACGCCGCTTTCCAGGGGTGGTCTCCTTGTCTTGGGACTGCTGGGTACCATCACCACAACTAGAACCCTGACTAGAAACTACAGAAATCTCATTATCTGTTTCTCCCAGGCAAATTTCAGGGTCCTTTGCCTTCTCTTTAGCTACTACAGTTCTTTTTTTATTTTTGTTTCGTTTTGATGGGTATTTTCCATCTGTTGCTTTTTCAACAGATTTTGGAATATTCTCAGAACTACTTGGACGTACCGACTTTGGCTTTCTTTTGGATTTATATTCCCAGATGTCTTCTTCCAAAAAAGTGTCTTCCAACATGGCAAAATGATTGTAACATTAAAGAAGCACTAATCTTAACGAAATTAGAGTCTACTTTGTGTCACCAAACTTTCAAATGGAATTAGTGAATTAGTTTGCTTAGAAAAATAGACAAAAGGAACAACCACAAAAAAAAAAAGCCACTAAAATTTGATGGTGGGATCCTAAACTCTGGTAATGACTGTATTGGCAGAATACAAACTTTATAGCCGCTGTTCCCATTTATACTACAATAAAATTAAGAGACCATACCACAGGATTAGCATTGGGACTGCCATTTCCTTAGTGTTTTGGTCTTTACCAGAACTTCATAAAAATAAGAATCAGGATTAATTTGGAAATTAAGCACTAATGGAAAGTATCGGTTCAACAGCTTCATCTTCGTATAAGCCTTGAAAAGCTGTTACAAAGCTGTCAGCTTTTTCAACTGGACCATTGTCCAAATAAGTCAAAATTCAATTCCTGGAACACTGGCTCATCAGGTGTTGTAACCACTACAATGCTACCTCCTTTGCCAGCGACGCTCCTCACACCTCATCAAAGAGGTGTGTGATTTGCAAGATCCGTGATTGCCCTGATCTGAGACTCATAGACGTGATATTCATTTTCCTGGGTCATTCCAACATCTTCCTTCTGCAGCAATGAACCAACACAGCAGAGTCAACAAACAAAATTTAAACATGTGGAGCAGTACTTGGCTGAGGCCACACTTCTCACACTGACCCCACAGGGGACCTGTCTGGGGTGCTCGTCCTCTCCCCACCAGCCTGTAAACCAAGGCTCACTTGTCTGATGCCCCCTTTAGACTTAGGGGGGGCTGCACAGCCACGGAACAGGACCCAGGCCCCTTCTACGACAAGGAGCAGACGAGCTGCTAGCACAGCCCTCTTCCAAGAAAGCCACCAGAGCCCTCCCCTTCTGAAGATTCAGAAGCCCCGGGCTCGGGGATGCCCGCGGAAGCCCACCTGCACCCACGCCCGCCGCAGCAGCTCCAGCTGCTTCCGCCCCCTCGGCTCCCCCTCCCCCAGCTCGGCTGACAATACATTCGCGCCCGCACTTTCAGCACTGCCAGCACGCCAGGGCGACAGTGCCCTGCCCGGGGGTAAGCCAAAGTCCCTGGCCAGGCACTCCCGACCCAGAAAGCCCTCTCCTTTGAGGACACCCCTACACCCTACCTTAGTGTCTTGGCGGGAAGAGTGTCCCGCTACCAGTGCTGTGGCGAATCGTCTGATCGTGATTTAAAAGCACAACTTAAAAAAATAAATAAAAATTGTGTGCCCCTGCTACGAATTATGGTGCTTTCCTCTGGTCCTAAAATGCGCTAATTCCCCAAACGAAGGGTGGGAGGATGGTGCTTTCAGGACGTTCAGAGCGCGGGCCGGGGGGGCGGGGGGGGGGCTCTTCCGTGTGGAATCTGCCGCCGCGAACGTGCAGGCTCCGCGCGGCCGGCCCGGCGAGGGGCGGGGTGCTTGGGGACCGGCGTTTCATGACGCGCCCGAGCGCGGCGACGCTTGCAACTTTGGCATGTGAGTGCATGCTTACAAACGGCCGGAAGTGTCGCTAGCGGAGAGTGGGCTGGTGCTGGGCGAGGGGGGTGCCGACTCGAGCCCACAGGCCCGTAAGCGCCACTCCGGCCCCTCGAGATCCTCCCACGGCCCGGTGGCCGCCTCTGGTGCGCCCCGCGAGAACATGGCGGCCCCCGGCGCCCGCAGCGGCAGCCTCTCGGGCCTGCTCCCCGCGCAGACCTCGCTGGAGTACGCCCTGCTGGACGCTGTCACGCCCGAGGAGAAGGACAGCCTGGTCTACCAGTATCTGCAGAAGGTGGACGGCTGGCAGCAGGACCTGTCAGTGCCCGAGTTTCCGGAAGGTGAGGGGCTGGCTTTGGGGTGGGGACCCTCGGGGAACCTCCCCTTCCTCGGGGCTGGCGCCCTCCCCTGGAGCGGTGGGCGCGGCGGGGTGGGGCCGCGGGCGCTGGGCTGAGCCGGAATAGGGCTCAGTCGCTCCCCTCTCGCAGGTGCCGGGAGCAACCCGGACGAGGTGGGGGGGACGCGGAGGGTCCTGGGGGTCCCCTGGAGGGCGGAGACCTGCATATTGGTGTTTGAGTCCTCCGGGGCCCGATATTAACTAAGTGGACGAGAGTGGACCCCGTGCGCAACGATTGGACTGTCAGCTCGCCCAGCGGCAGCATCTTCCTGCATCACCGAGCCAACATTTACTGATCACTTCTTAGGAGCCACACACAGTTCTAAACGCCCCAGGGATCTTAATGTCTTATTTAATTTTCCCTGCAACTCATCGAGGTGCTCTTATTAATCTTACCTGACAGTGGAGGAAACTGAGGCTGGGGAAGTTAAGTAACCTGCCCAGGGCCTCAGAACTTAATAGGATCCAATTAAAACGGAGTACAGATTGGCCTGTTTTTTAACTGTGCCACACTTCTCTATTCGAAGTCATGAAACTTGAAGTGTTCTAAAAGCTGGGCCAATGCCGGCTCTGAGGGTTTGGAACATGAGGGAACTGATATTCCCAGCAGTGCTATTTGTGAAACATATCTTGCTGTGATAAATGAAACCCTGCTTTACCTTCTTTGGTTGGGGCTAGCTTTGTTTTGCCTGGTGGTGCTGGCAGGTTTCCTGGCAGGACACTGAAACCACATGTATAGTTAATTGGTTGGATGTGGCAGATCTCGTGGGAGGTATATCTGACATCAGAGTCTCGTCTATCTTTCTAAGTCTTGTCCCTGCCTTAAAAAGTACTCTTTTCCTGTTATTTATCCTACACTGACTGAGTTTGAAATATTGGGGAACGTCTTACAAAAGAACTAGGTGCATTGGTGTTTATCCCGTTAAAGAATCTTTAAATAGTTGATACTTCTTTCTATATTCACCAAATGTGTTCATCATTTTCCCTTTCACATGCAGACTATTACACAGCTATGAAAAAATGTAACTTTTTCTTACTGTAGTTATAGACTACCATGCCCCTTCCTTTGAAATCACAATGGTTGAAATTTTAATGGACAGTTTAGATAAATTATCTCTTTTTTTTATTATGATAATTGATTGTTTTTTAATTTCAGGATTAGACTGGCTGAACACAGAGGAACCTATTTCTGTCTACAAGGATCTATGTGGAAAAGTAGTCATCCTTGATTTCTTTACCTACTGCTGCATAAACTGCATTCACCTGTTGCCTGATCTGCACGCATTGGAACACACATACTCTGATAAAGGTATCTGCTCTTTAAGTTGTCGCTAACAGTTTGTTCTGCCGTAAGCACTTAAGAGTAACAGATTATTTGCTCATAGGAGAATGACTGTTTGGCAAGACTGATTCCAAAAAATATTTCTGATCTGCAGATTGTGGACTTCATGTACATTTTCATGAAAAGTTAGTGTCAGTGATGATTCAGTAGTTGATTCTTTACATGATCAACTACTTCGAAAGTCATTTTGTATACCTAGACTTAACCAAAATTTGTTTAATGAAATGTGTGACTTTATGTTTCTCTCACTATGATATAAATGTTTAAAATTCTTATTAGGAAATGCGATGAAGCTTCCTTAAATTGTGAATGATATAAAGTACAATAGAAAGCAAAATATAACAGATGCTTTGGCCTTTATTGAAAATGACTTATGAAAGTTAATGTTTTTCACAATGTATTAGGAATCCTCTTTGTTATTACAAATGCTAAGATGTAAAAGTATTTGCTTTTCTTATTCTTTCTAAAAAGAGCATAGCAGGTAACTAAAACTAGTTCAAGGTTCTATGTAATTAGGACTAAATTAATTGAAACTTTACTCTTAGAGTGGATAATAAAGATAGTTCACCTATTGTGTGAGAATCAAGATGAGAATAGGGTATTGATGTACAGAAATGGAAGAGATCTGAAACTTAGTTTTAAAAGGGGGGGATGACATAAAATCTGCAGTGTCACTAAAATTTCAGATGCTTTTAAATTATTATAGATTGTATCTTGAAATTGTCAATCAAGAGGACAGGTTTGGTTTTACTGGGTAAGAGCTTTCCAACCAGAGAGAACACTGTGTCAAGCCTGCAAGCAAGGGAAATAATGATATTCTTGAGGAACTGAAGGAAGACCAGGTTGCCACCACACCCTGAGGGAGGGAGACAAGAGTGTGGAGAAGATGCTGGAGAGATGTGATTTAGCTTTTATGGGAAGAACAGTGGAAAACCAGTCAGCGATTTTCTGCAGAAGGGTGACATGATCACAGACTTATGCTTTTCAAATGTGAGCCCATCTCCTGGGTGAGGAACTAGCTGGTGGACAAGAATGGTTGCAAGAGACAAAGATGTGGGGTGCTATTGTTCTTCCCCTGAGACCTGGTAATAGCTCAAAACTGGTTATAGGTGATTAGATCAACATGAGTTGGTCCTTGATTAACTATGGGTGATGAGAGGGCTGGCCCGTTACTACAGATATATCCTATGGAGGTTTCTGGTTTGTGTCATTGGACAGATGACGGTGCCTTTCCATGACAGGAAAACCTGTAAAAACGACAAGTTTGGAGGGGAAGGTTGTGAGTTTAGTGTGAAGTCTCTGGGATTTGCACTTCATTCTCCACATGACTTCCATTGTTCCTAAGAATAAAGCTCTAAATCCTTAATAGAACTCACCAGGCTCACCCTATCTGTAAATTCTCATTTTGTCCCATGCTCCTCTTTGTTCTCTATTCTTAATCACTTCCCATCTTTAATCTTTCCTTTTATTTACATTTGTGTGTGTGTGTTGTTTTTTTCTCTTTTTCTCCTTCATTGTTCTCTTCACAGTTCATCTCTCTCCTTAATCACTTCTTCAAGGAATATATTATGCAGAAGAACTAGAGTATCCATATTATGACCTCTTGTATATATACATGTGATATATATGGATTTCACTTATGGATCCTTATTTAATTCATTGGGCTGTAACTCATCACTATCATTATTTCTAATGTTCAAATTTTTCCTATGATTAATGGGATCCCCTCCAACTTTTGTTTGTCCATACCATTCATTTAGCACTTCCTTACTTGTTACAATAAACTATTTCTAGATTCATCTTCTACTTTCCCAGGCCCATTCCTGAATAGGACACATCTTCAAGGAGCTCTGATTTCTTTGAATACACATTAAGTATTGGAAATAGGTTTGAGAAACCAAGCTCTGGGCATAGATGTACTTATTGCTATGAATATATCTTCTGGTTCCTCTTCATTCAAAAATTACTTAATAGTGGGCGATCCTACCCAGAGAGATTACTTTTCGTTAATTCTGTTTTTGAATATGTCAAATTTTAACGTGGACCTGAAAGTCGAAACTATACAAAAAGGTATATTCACTTCACCTACTCATCCACTTGTTCTTACTCCCATTCTTTTTATTTTTTTTTTTTATTTCTCTCTCTCTTCCTTTTTTTTTTACACTAAAGGTACCATTCTATAGAATTTTTTTCATGTAACAACTTATCCCAGAAGATATTCGGTATCAGTTCATGGGGAACTTCCTGATTATTTTTAATAGCTGTGCAGGATTTCAGTGTGTGTACATCTCTATACCATAATTTTTATTCAGTTACTCTCCAAGCCTATGACTGGCCTTTAAGTTGTTGCTAAGATTTGGTAATCACAAACAATGAATAATCATGTGGATATGTTTTTGTTACTATTGGTGGCATATCTTAAGAGTAAATTTCTAAAAGTGGGTTTCCTGAGTCAAAGTTCAATGCATATATTGTTTTGTTAGATGCTGTTAACTTCTGTGTGGGTTTGCATTCCAGCTGCCATGTGTGAGCGTGCTGCTTACCCCTCTGTGTGAAAAATGTGTTGACACACTTTGCAGTTTTTGCTGACACCACAAGTGAGAAATGGTATCTTCATCTAGTTTTAAATCTCATTTCAGAGGGAGACTTAATACCTTTCATTTGTTGATAGCTGTTTATTGGAAATGGAAATTGTGTACCACTGTCTCCTAACTATGTGCTGTGTAGATAAAGTCTACTCATTTTCCTGTAAATTATTCTTTGCTGTTTCCCAAATACATTACTGTACTATATTACCTGCAAACAAATATTCTCATTCTTTTGTAATTTTGATGGCTTATAATCAAAATTTTGTAATTTTGATTCCCATTAATCCTTAAATAAAAGGCATCTCCGCCATTTGGGTGAAGCACAGAGTAACCCAGTTACCTGCTGAAAAATTTCAGCACTCAGAATGCTGAACACAGGCTTATCCTGGCAGCAGCTCTTTAAAGTGTGGCTTCCCTTGGAGAAAGTCTACTGAAGGGAAAGAACAAAGGGTGGAGGGGCCCCCCTGGTGGTGCAGGGGGTTAAGTCTCAGCATTCTGAAGCTATCTGCAGCCACTGCAGCCCAAATTTGATTCACTGCCCAAAAGTTGACCCATATGGCCCAGAAGACCTCTCCTGTCTAGCCAGCTGCGCCCCTCAGCAGTGTATTTCAGTAGATCTGCCAGTTCTGCTCCTCACTCTGTCTCTGGTGAATCCTCTCACCAATCTAAACCTCTGGCCTACACCCCAGCTCTTGTATGCATAAATAAATAAAATAAATCTTTAAAAAAAAGGGGGGGGGGTGGAATGGTAAGCTAAGGCTCCTGTGGAAACAAAAGCTAAAATACACACCACTCCCAAACAACATTGCCATCCAAAATGAAATATTAAGTGAGCCATCAGAAAAGAGTGTTCTCAAAGTTAGGAATCACATAACGTATAGGAATATTAAAAAGTATATCATACCAATTTAAAACTAAAAAGCTGGAAATGTGATTCAAAGTTGAAAATTCTCAGCCACAAAATTGATGAATGCTGTAACAGTGTTCCATATTGAATTACATAACCTCAAACATTACTTAGGAATAATGAAGAAAAAAAAAAAAAAGCTTGAGTCGAAATTCTGAAACTAAGAGCAGAAATGGAGCAGACAAAATACAAGGGAAGAAATGAATATTGATTGAACTCAGAAAAGAATCTGAAGGAAAAGGTCAGAATTTTATTAGAAGTGAAAACTAGGTGCCTGAGGAGGAATGTTAAATTTCCAGCAGTTTGTGAGGTATCTGAGTTTTCTTTTTACTTTCTGTATATATCTTATCTGATGTGCTGACATTCTGAATTGCTGTAAATTTTTATTTTCAAGCAAATTTTGGAAGGCTGAGCTTTATTCAAATTTTCTTCTGCCCCATGTCCTCCCTTTTTAGGACTCCGTATATTATTGGTCTTTGGAATATTGCCTAAGCCCCTGGGCTTCATTCATTTCCTCTCCATCCCCATCTTCTTTCTTTGTATTCTTTAGTTTCTGTTGAATTATCTTCAGGTTTGTGGACTCTTTTCCTTTGTCATCTCCCTTTTACCATTGAGTTCATTCCATAAATTTATTTCAAATATGCTATTTTTTAATTCTAAAATTTCATTTAGTCGTTAGAGCTCCTGTTTCTGCTTATGTCTACTATCTTTTCACTTATTTCAATTGTTCTTCTTCACCTCCTAGAGCAGAGTTAGTCATAGTTGCCTTAAAGTCATTACTAACTATCTGCTTCATCTTGGTGTCCTTATCTGTCCATTGTTCTTTCCATTAACCTTAGGTCACATTATCAAGTTCTTTGGGGATTAGGTAATTTGGGATTGCATCTTGAACCTTAGAATATTATGATAAGCAGATCTGAGTTCTGTGCCAGTTCTCAATAGTATATCATTAGCTTTTTTTTTTAATTAATAAGTTTATTTTTACATCATTTTGCACATTTTTTTTTTCATCTCAACTGTAATCCCCACGGGTTTCCCATCACCAAATCACCCCTGTGTGCTTTGTTTTTAATAGGAATCCAACCCTGTTCAGACTCCATCAACTCTCTCTTACCAGCCCAGTAATGCTCTGTTCTCTAAATATTTTATGTATTTCAGGGGTCTGTGTCATAATATGTAGTTTAGGAGTTAAGGAGAGACTTTTTATTCAGAAACAGGGAATAACCTTCTCTGTGTCTTCCCCCTAGAGTTTTCCTCACCCTCTTCAATTTCCCTGGTTTTTGGACCAGAAAAGCAGGGGCATTTCTTTTGGAGTGGGCCACCTGCATTGCTCTAAAACCAGGGCCCCATCACTACTGTACCATGCAAGGGGAAAGAAAACAAATTAGGGGGTCACTGAAGCCCCCTGGGGTTTGCTTCTCTGGCTGTGCCTCATTGCGAGCTCCTGCTTCTGTCTTATTTTCTGTTCTCAGGTGAGTGTATGTGCTTATGTATGTTGGTTTGGAGTTAGTAGCTGTAATGGAAAGATATTTTGTCAGGGGACTACACCTCCCAATTCATGTGGTTTGATTTCTTCTTTTTGGTTTGTGTCATTTTCTTGTGATTATATCAAAAGATTCTAATTTAAATGATCAGTATTATTTTCCTGTGTTGGAGGCAATATTGAGTTTTTCGTCTGAATCCAGACTGCATGCCTTACTTTTTTTCCCCCTAAACTAACATCTTGACATAGCTGTATTGATTAGGTAAAAGAAATGTGTAGTCTTTAGTTTTTCATTTCAGCAATTCTGTTATCTACAATAAGGGTATTCTAAAAATGGTGGAAATTTTAAATGAATCAATAACCTTATATTCTGGGAACATTTGGGTTATATTCTTTCTGTTAACCTGTAGTATAGTTAGGTCAGAAAATGTTAAGAGACTAGTATAACATTAACTACAACAGAAAAGCCACCATTGTCATTAAATTTCAAAAAGGCTTATGCCTGGTTGAAAAAAGTTAAAATGTCAACATCGTCATAAGATGTTTTTAAAAGCCTATTCTATACTAAGGCTATAAAGTGGTTTAATCCTGAAATGCTACATTTTTTGATCATGTATGTTTTATGTAGTTACCAAGATGTTCATGACGGCTAGTTTTTTTTTAAACATGTGTTTACATGCTACTAAAGACAATAATTTCTCTTTTTTTCACTGTTTATCTCTATTAGTGTTTATATGTATTAATGACCCAGGCCTTATGTTGGGATTGTGATATTTAAACTTTAGCACTTTATGTTTGACTTACCATTTTCCCCATTTAGATGGTCTTCTGATCGTTGGTGTTCACTCGGCTAAGTTTCCAAATGAAAAAGTCCTGGAAAACATTAGGAGTGCTGTCCTTCGGTACAACATCACCCACCCTGTGGCCAACGATGCTAATGCCAGCCTTTGGCAAGAACTTGAAGTTTCCTGCTGGCCAACTCTGGTCATACTTGGACCCCGTGGAAATATGTTGTTTTCTTTAATTGGAGAGGGACATAAAGATAAATTATTTTTATATACTTCAATAGCTTTAAAGTACTACAAAGACAGGGGACAGATCAGAGATAATAAAATTGGAATAAAACTCTATAAAGATTCTCTGCCACCTTCACCATTGCTGTTTCCTGGCAAAGTAACAGTAGACGATGTTTCAAATCGGTTGGTAATAGCAGACACTGGACATCATAGAATTTTGGTCGTCGGGAAGAATGGACAAATTCAGTACAGCATTGGAGGTAACATTTGTTTCTAATCATGATTTGTAATAAGTCTTACAGTAAAAAAATAGTTCAATGAAATATATTAAAATTGAAATTACAAATAAGAACTAATTATGAAAGGGCAGTATACATCGACTTTTAACTTTATCACAACATTGTTTTTTTAATTAACATTTTGTATCTGGATTTATCTCTCTCAATAAAAACAAACAAAAACCCCAAAAGCTCCATCCAGGTCAAAAGGAAATCTTTAGGTTATAATGCTTAAATATATATATGTGTATACATACACACACACACACACGCACACACATATTCCATCTTGTTGCTTTAAAAAAAACCCTGCTAAATACTATATATTGTGAAAGTATATATATGTATATATAATGGATTTCAGACATTTTAAGTGGATGTATTCTGTTTCATTTTTCATCAAAATATAGCCATATAGTATTAACGACTAGGACAATACCCTAGGAATTGAGGTTTAGAGTATATAAATCATTAATCTGGGCTTTGTACTTTATTTTACTTTTCTTCCACTGAAACTTCAATATGCTTCCTGAATCTAGCAAAAGTATCATATGAACATAGGTCATTTTACACATATTTCCCTGGTCTTAGATCTAAACAGCACTCTTAATCACATCTACATAATTAATAAAATGTATTCAGTACATTCCCATTAATCCTGCTTATCTAGGCTGAACTGACAGCCTGATTGCAAATGTTAGTGAACATTAGAGAAAAAAATAATTCACCTCTTTGCAATCCTCCTTAGGTTATGCTTACAGCATTAATACATAAAGTAGGGATAGCTACATTCTTAATGCAAATAAGCTAATCATATTCCCAAGCCCTTGATGCTAGTCTTAGTATGCCAACATATTATCTTTCATGTTTTGTTTCATTTGTTTCTGTTAGAACATGTGTGTTTAATGTTGTTTATTTTGCTTTGACTATTTGGTATTCTGGCTTATGACAAGCAGTTATGAGAATTGTTACAAAAAAAAAACACATCTGTTCTAGCATTCTAATTTTAAATGGTTAAAGAAATAAATGAATATTCTAGTTGTTAAACAGAAACCAGCAGCAAGCTGCCTTTCCCAAACATTTTTAGGAATAGTACTACCTTGCAATAAATTAATAATTCTTTTGCAATTTTTAGAAAAGAGATTAATATATGTCGTTGCACTCAGGAAATACTGGTTTGATATGGTTTAACAAAATCATGTGCATGATTATCACTGTCCATCAGAGCTGTGATATACTGATCTGATGACTGTGCTTGAGGGGACTTTAGTGCTCAATGATTTCAAGTCTGAATTGACCACGTTGAACATTTCCCAATATTTAGCAGTATTACCACTGTGACTACTACTCATAGCCATCCTAGCTATGGCTGGCATTATTCTAAGCACTTTACCCATCTTAATTATTTTAATTTTCACAATGAAAATGACTTTTAACTTTATCACAAATTTGTTAGACATATTAGATTCACTTTACAGAAGAGAAATTGAGAAACAAAGAACTTTCCTGAAGAGTTGGGATTTAAACCAAATTGTTGGCGTCTTGAGTTCATGTTTTGAAGATCATTACAAAAATTACTTCTTATTAACATCTAGGACAGGGGAGTTCTGTAAAATACAGTTGAGGAATGCTGACTAAGGATTTGAATGGCTTGTTCTCTGGTCACAGAAATAACAGACTGAGTTATGCTGTCTACTCCATGTGTATTAGCGAAGCCAAGAGACAGGCCATTAGATCAGAATCAATCTCTCTCTCTTTTTTTTTTTTTAAAGATTTTATTTATTTGTGCATACAGAACTGGGGTACAGGCCAGAGGCTCAGGGGCAGCGAGAGGCTTTACCAGATACAGAGTGGGGAGCAAAACAGGCAGATCGACGAAGTACACTGCTGAGGGGAGCAGCGGGCGGGTCAGGGGAGGTCTGCCGTGCCATGTGGTTACCTCCAGGACAGGCGGGAATCGAACTCATTCGAAAGTGGCTTTAGTTTCTCAGTGCTGTGCTTTAATCTGCTGCACCACCAGGGAGGGCCAATCTATTTCTCTTTTAAGGTAGTATATTATAAAACTTTGTGGCAATGTGAGATAGTAAATATGACGGACTCTTAATCATGAACTGCTAAGAAATGCTTGAATGGTCATTATAGCTTTTAAGTAAAAGTATCCTGTTATATTAATAACTTAGCTTTAAATAAAATTCTGTTTTACTGTACTTTGGGTTTTACTTGGAACTAACTTTGTAAGTGGAAACTTGTCTTACAGTTACCTTGTCTTTTAGGACCCAACCCTGGAAGAAAAGATGGACTATTTTCAGAGTCAACTTTTAATTCACCACAAGGTATAGCCATAATAAATGATGTCATATATGTGGCAGACACTGAAAACCACCTTATAAGAAAGGTAATTTTTTATTTTAAAAATGTTTTGATAGTTCTAATCAGAAAAACTGATATTTACAACATTAAATATTTATAGCAAGGGCCTCCCTGGTAGCACAAGGGGTTAAGTCTCAGCACTGTGAAGCTATCCACCACTACAGCACAAGTTCAATCCCTGGCCAGGGTGGTGACACACATGGCGCCACAGACCTTCTGTCTGCCCACTGCTCCCCTCACAGTGGGTTTCAGTCACTCCACCTACTCTGCTCCCCACTGTGTCTCTGGTGAGCCCTCTACTCCCCTCCCCCACCTGTGGCCTACACCCCAGCTCTTGTATGCATAAATAAATAAATCTTTTATGTATATGTTTGTAGCTAGAGAATATAAATACCTCAAAATTTGCTTCTTCAGATTTTTTTAAAGGTACGTACTCTAGATTTACTTTTAGGTATCGTGTTTTGGGAGTTTTCAACCAATAGTTGTCACAGAAGAAACTCATTGAGTCTTTCAACCCTTTGTTTCAAAGCACTTCGCTTTGACCTGTTTTCCTAGGTCAAAGGAAAACACTTGCCCTACAAAGTGATGCTTTGTCCTTAAACCTAGAAAAAAAATCATGATCTCCCTACCTCCCTTTGGCTCTTAAGCCTTGTTTGGAAATACTTACTGTTAATCATCTTAAAATTAGGTTTGTTTCATTATTAAAATAGTATGTGATCTTTTTTAAAAGAAATGAATTAATACATCAGGGTCAAAAAGTGTCCTATTTATCTGTTTCAGCATTCCCAAGGTAACCAACCATCCTTGTTAAAACTTTGCTTTTTCAGAAATTTTCTATTCATGTACATATAAATTTATGAAAAGATGTGTCTATAGAATGTTCTTTTAAGCAAATAACATCATACTTTGCATACATAATCTTTTGTGGTATTTTTTAAACGTTTTTCATATTCATCACATGAAAGATATAACTGCAGAGTATTGCATTGTAGAAGTGCCTAGGTGTTTTAAATGTCCTGTATTGATGAATATTTTAACTGTAATCCACTGGGCCTTAAGTTGTATCTATTTGTAATTTCAACTGACCCATCCTACCTAAACATTGTGTTTCAAAAACCTACATAATTTTCTCACTGTTTCTTTCTAGATTGATATTTACACCTATTTATTTGGCTATATTACTAATATACATACAACAGAAAAAATATATACAGAACATATAATGATATCTGCTGTGATACAGATCTCCTTAAGAGTGTAAAATGCATTCTATTTATAGTTAACAACTTAGGCCCTGAAAACCAGGCCTGGCATTCCATGTTCACTATATATTTGTTGAGTTAATTTGTGAGCAAATAATTTCTGTTAAATGAAGCATTTCTAAAGCGTATATTCCTCTTAATACAAAAAAAAGAAAACATGTAAAAAAATAATTTTATGGAATTATAAACTAAAGCAGATTTATTTTTTGAAAGTCTTGAAGACTTTTTTCTTGGTGATTTTCGTACACTTAACATATTGTGACTACATTAGTAGAGGAATATGTATGCAGTATTAATAGACTTAATTTAATCAAGGAGCTCTTTTTAGGGAGAACTTTTCTTAAGACTAATTTCATGGTTTATCATTTTGGAAAAAGTGGTTTATTGTTACCAAAACCTTAAAGTTAGTTACTAAGTTTATTTTCGTTTTCAGGGTCTACCTTTATATTATATAATTCACCATAATCTCAGACATCTAACAGAATATCGAAGTAGTAAGATACTTAGCCTACAATGTGGTAGGAAGTACTTGTGCTTTCTTAATTGTTCATTCTCTCCTCTTACTCTTGAACTTAATGGGTTTCAGAGTACTGATTGCATTTCAAGTAGCTTCATCACAACAAATTCAGGTTACCAGAAGTTACTTTGTATTGTATGACTGACTTTACTATCTGTATAAAATAGAAAGTGAGGTGGAATTTTTCTTTTGGTCTTGAAAACATATATTTTGCTTTCATCTAAGACCTTATTTGAAGTGGGCTAATCATACTTTTGCATTCACAGTTCACAAATGTTATCTTACCATGCAGACCAATCTTTAGAATAACTCATAATAAATTTATAAATTCTTCTTCATCCCCATTCCCATTCCCCCTGCCATTCCCCCTCCTGAAGTGCACCTGCAGACATCCTTGTTAATGTTTAATTCATATTGTATATAACCTTGTAAAACACAGTTGTGTTTTTAACATTATCGTAATATACCTTACATTTCAGAAAAATGCATCCATATCAAATATATAATTCAGGAAATTTTAGCAAATTTAAAAACTTATGCAAACATAATCATTGTTTTTAGAACAATTTCCTCCACTCTCATAATCACCCTCAAGGGTGGTGGGTAAGCAGAAAGTGGGGAGGAGGTGGGGAAATGAAAAGTACTGCGCACTGGGCATTTTAATAACATGCACCCATACCTAATTAGCTTAAAAATCATCCTTTTACTTAAAAATAAATATTTGCACTTCAAATACTTTCTAGTCTACTGGAAATCTTTATATATCAAAAGAAAAAACAGTAACATAAAACATTAATTTCTACAGATTGACCTAAAAACAGAAACAGTGAGCACCGTAGCTGGTATTGGAATTCAAGGAACGGATAAAGAAGGTGGAGCTAAAGGAGAAGAACAGCCCATTAGTTCTCCTTGGGATGTAGTTTGTGGATCATCAGGTGTGTAAACTTTTTTTACGATGCAGTATGATAGTGCTCAGACTGTACATGACGCCTGTAACTGTTTATTTTACAGTGAGTCTGTGCTGCTTATCATCATACCTCACCCGCCTCTTCTTCTAGGAATCAGCAATCTGTTCTCGGGGACCATGAGCTCAGGCTTATTAGTGTGTGTGAGGTTTCTGTTTTGTCTTTATACCCACATATAAAATGATATGGCCTTTGTCATACAAGACAAATATAAGACATTGTAAAGTTATATGGCATTTGTCTTGACTTATTTCACTCAGCATAAAGTCCTCAAAGCCCACTCATATTGTTGCAGCTATCACCAATGATAAAATTTTCTTCTTTTTTAATGGCTGAATAATTTTCACACATGTGTGTACTTGTCTTTACAAGGCACATGTTCTTCATTTTTCTGTCCATGGACACTTAGGTTTCTTCCCTGTGTTGGCCATTGTTAACACTGCACTGATCACAGGGGTGCACGTATCTTTTCAAGTTAATATTTCATCCTCCTTATATAAATACTTAGAAGTGGAATTTCTGGATCACGTAGCAGTTTGTTTTTAATTTTTTGAGGAATTTCCTTACTCTTCCTGAGTGGCTGCACCAAGTGGCATTGCCAGCAGTGATGCACAAGGGTTCCCTTCTGCACATCCTCACCTGTGCTTGGTATTGCTTGTCTTTTTAAGGATCCACCAGCAGGTGTGATGTGATAACTCATGTGGTTTGATTTGCACTGCCTTGGTGATTAGTGGTATTGAGCACCTTGTTGTGTACTTATCAGTCATCTCTGTTTCTTTTTTATAAACACGCATATTCTTTTGGCAAAAGAGTGAGCCAACTTTCACACATTTCAAGTCTTTGTTCAGGCCATATCTGTTTACTGTTATTAAAGCACAACTAAACTCAAAGTCATGGAGCAGAAATATGGAGTCTGATACTACAAGAGGATTGAGGCTAGTGAGCACTTCTGCCTGTTGCTCACATCAGAATTTACACTGCAAAGCAGTAAGCATTTTTCTGAATGCTCTACCAGTTGGGATTAATTCAGTGACCCCAAGGTATTTAAGTAGTTTTATAAGCCTAAACCCTGTCAGCCATGCTTTATGGCGTGGAATTTCTGGTGCTTCCTCTCATAGTGAGAATGTACCCAAATTGTTTTCCAAAGAACATCTATCTTGTCTCTATTGACAAATCCTCATCAACGTCCAACTGGAATGATGTGCTAGCTTATTTGTGTTATTTGTATTTTTAATTGAGTTCAGTCTTCAGGAAAGGGAGTGCATCCTGCCTTAGCTCAACAGATCATTAAAAGCCATGGCTCTGTGTTAAACTTACAGTTTAAAATAGCTTCACTCAGTATTTGGCAAAAAGAATAACATTGAGTGCATTTAGGCTCAACACCTTTCAAAATACTGGTTTAAAACAATGATGTTAACCCTGTGTAAGGGACTGTAACCTCTGGCCACTCTTAAGGCAAGAGCATTCGTTTCCCCTGGAGTTTTGTACTCGAGACATTCTTGGTCAAGCTTCATGAGGTACTTAGCCTTTCCAGAAATTCTATCTAAATTTAGGAAAATTGGTCCTATTCTCTCAGAATTTCACAATGCTATATTACTCTGCAGTCTAATCCTGAATATATGTTGTCAAAATATGGGGAAATTGGCTCTTAAAATCTTGGCCTCCTTAGAGGTATTTTAACAACTGAGATGAAAAAGTATACATTGTACAAAAATGAAAAATGATATTAAAAATATATAAAATAAATTATTTTTACAAAACTATATTTTTAGCATCATGTCATTCAAAAATATCTCAACACAAACACATTTTACATTTACTTATAATCATGTGCATATATGTAGTTCATATTATTTATTCCATCAGAACAATACTATGGGACACTTATTACTGCTTTCAGTGTTTATCTTATATATACTTCTCTGATTGCCTACTGAAGAAATTTTTTCTGCTCTTGTATTATAGATAATCATACTTTTCCCTCTTTAATGGGTTCATTTTGAAGCTCCTGGATAAATTAAATATCATCACTGTTTTTCTTCACATTCTTATATCGATTACTAAGAAACTTGGAGACAAATGTATCATTAGCAAGTTGTAATAGATGATAGGACATTTAAAAATATTACTATAATTGTATCTTTCTATTCTATTTACTTATTTTTATATACTTATTTTTATGTTAAGTTAGGTTTTATTGCTTTGAAACCTATTAATTCATTTATGATATGAATTAACATAGTAGAACCCTTTACTGAAGTGATTGGGTATGATAATTAATATAAATTATAAATATATAAATTATATCAATTGATAATTGATATAAATGTATAAATTACAGCATGACTAGTGTGTTTTTGCTTTGTTAAAATAAAAAACTATTTTTATATCTAAAATTTGAGAGATTTCTTATACTATCTTACATTAAGATTCTTTTTTTAAGTCATGTTAATAAGGTTTAACTTCCACAAAATAACATTCATCCATATTAGGTATAAGTTCTGTGAATTTTTATCAGTATCTATAATCTTATAACCATTACTCCTCTGAAGATACAGAACATTGATTCACCCGGTCAAATGACTTTCTCACAACCCTTTTCGGTCCCCCTTCATCACCTTCAGCATCCACCCAGACACTGGCAATAGGATCTGTTCTTTGTTCCTTGTACTGTTTGGCCTTTGGTATCTGATTTCTTTCATTTAGTATCATACTTTTGAGATTCGTCTATCTTATTGCATGGATCAGCAGTTCCTTTTTGTTGTTGTGTAGTATTCCACTTTATGATTTTACCTTAATTTGTTTATTCACTTACCAGTTGATAGACATTTTAGTTGCCTCTAATTTATTGCAGTAATGATTTAAGCCTCTATAAGGATTTGTATACAGACTTTTACATATATGTACACATATTTATCTTGCACAGATATCTAAGACTTGCTGTGTCCAATGTCAAGTGTATGCTATGAGACACCATGAAACTGTCTGGAATCACTGGAATATTGCCTCTTTTTTTTTTAAATAATATAATAGTTTATTTTTACATCATTTTGTACTTTTTTTTTTCCTCTCAATTGTAACCCCGTGGGTTTCCCATCACCAAGTCATCCATGTGCCGTCACTATAGTCCAGCACATGAAGAACTTCTTTAACAATTTTTTTATAGCCCTGACAAAGATTTCTGGATTGACTTTTTCTTTTGATATTTAGAGATGTCTCTGCGTTGCCCGTGAATGTGCTTCACTTCTTTCCTTGGTCCTTTCTGTGTAATGTGTGTTTTTTCTCTGGCTGCCTTCATGATTTTCTGTTTGGTTTTTCACACTGTGATATGTATAGGAAGCCTTTTGGTTTCAGTGTTTGCTTCCTTTAATGTGTTTTTTCCCTTTTTATTTTCTACCGGTCATCTTGTGTTAGAATTGTAGAGGTTAAAATAAATAGTATTTATGCCATTATCATGGGAGGTTTAGTCAGTTTGTTAGAAGCTGGGCAGTGTATGTATTCTGTGTTATTGCTGTTGCTTTTCTTTCTTGCTGTGGTTCCCACAGCTCTCACCGTGGGCTACTGTTGCCTTATGGTGTTGCTGTAGTGTGGGGGCTTAGCTGCTGGAGGGTTTTTCTCCATGTCAGTACTCCACCCACAACAGTTGTCATCCATGCAGAGCTGAGCCAGAGTGGGTCACTCTCTACACTCCTGCTTCCACCCCGCAACGCTCCCCTCCCCAAGTATAGACTGCTCCTGTTTGCTACTCTTCATTAGACTTAGGAGAACTATTTTCTTTGTTGTCCCTCAGCTTGTCTTAGGGAGGTGGTGTGCCTGGACCTCCATGAAAGGAAAGGGGTTCTTCCTTGCACCTATCCTTTCTCTGGCAGCTAAACTACTGTGCCAGTTTGAGAGGTGATCTGCTTTTCCCCGCCCTCCGGGGCAGTCTCTCTACAGCGTGTACATTCACAAACTGGTCCCTACCCTCCCTCAGGACTGTGTAGAGAAATATTCTCTTTTCCCCTGCTTCAGCAATCATTGCCCTTTTCGTGTGCCCTGAGGTGACAGACCTTTTTTCCCTTAACTTCACAAGGCCTTGTTCGTAGGAGGTTTAGAGGAATGTATAGAAAAAACTGTTCACTCGAAGGAAAAGCTCACAGATGCTCAGAAGAGGGATCTAATCAGTGGGATTTACTTTGATCATAGTGGCTTAAAATAACACAAAATATTTTTAAAGGGGGAATGTAGATAATTTTCCTTTTTTATATTTCACTTACTGATTTTTTTCTTGTTTTCTGAAACTATTTCACTAATATTTATTGATAATAAATTAGCAATCCTCTTAAACCCTTTTTAGCTTTTAAAAAGCTATTTTTTAATAGATCTTTTTTTAATTTTAATTTGTGACTGTTGAAAGTCAGTGATACTATGTGCAGTCTTAATTTGGAGTTGAAATGTTTTGATTGCATATTCTTGTTAAAACAAAGCTAATACCCTTACTCAGTGATACACTGTGTGCTTTAGAGTTCAAAATCCAGGGTAAACAGTATAAATTATTAAAGGATGCTATTGTTAGTTTGAGAGACGTGATACATGCCAGATGATCTTTAAAAAAAAAAACAAAAAAAAACTCTTATTTGCAAGAACAAATTCTCCAGCCCTCAGTGAGATGACCAGGCAGCCAAACAGTTCTTGCAAGGGGCAAAGCTCGCAGCTAGGAGCGTCAGCTCTGGAGCCAGACCCCTTGGATCCCAGCTTCACGTGATAGTAACTGGGCGACTGTGCAGTTCCCTAGCTTCTTGCTGCCTCAGTTCCCTCATCTAAATTGAAGACACCAAGAGCAACTACCTTAAAGACTTAACTAAAGAATAATGAGAAACAGCATAGGTAAAGCACTTAGAGTGCTGGCATGGGCTTGCTGTTGCTAGAGACTCACCCCAAAGTCTCAAAAAGGTGTTGATAAGCTGAACCAAACCAAAAATGGAAGGGCAAGGTCTGGAAAAAATACTGATAAGACATTACTCAGCCACAGCCAGAGGCCACAGGGAGAGAAGGCCAGAGAGAGCCTAGTGACACAACTGGAGAAGGCGGGTGCCATTGAGCAGATCACATGAAATGCCCTTAAGTGCTAGGTTGATGGGGCAGACAGACAGGAGGAGAAGACAATAGACCAGCAGCGCATAGGCTCACTTCTGTAGGTCCTTCTTGTCAGAACACTGATTATCTGAAGATTCCATTGAGGGATTCATGTTCCAGTGTCGCTGTGTGAGTTTTCAGCAAACTATTTAACCTCTGAACTTCAGTTTCTTTCTTAAAATTTATAGATGATACTAAGTCTTCCTGAACTTTTTAAATTATAAGAAATAATCTTTGCAGAGTGCTTGTTACTCAGTGCCTTAGTCATAGAAAACACCCTGGACGGCTGTTTGCATCACCACTACCCTGAACCCCATTGTCAGCGCTTGGTATATAGAAACCCAGCCTTTTGAGTTGTGACCTCATTGTCCTCTTCTTCCATACTCTTTCACATTCCTCAGACTTCTTAGGGAAACAGAGAGATCAAGACCAAATTGAAGTTCACACTTAATACTTAAAAAACTTTAGCCTTTACCTAGTAGATTCAGCTGGCCTACTTTGAGAACTAGAAAGTGGAGACCTGATAGGATCTCTCTCACACATACCCACAAAGCTCTCCTTGGCGAAGTGGAGGCTTTAAAATGTTGTTTTCTAATAATTACAGTTTTGTTTCTAATCTTTATGCTTCTTGCTCCTCCTTCTTACTTGTTGCATAAATTAGGATCTTCATACGATCCTAAATAAAAGTGTTGCTAGCCTATGTCCTTGTCTCATTTCTGTTCTCAGGGAGAATGTCTTAGTCAGCTCCGGCTGCCATAACAAAATACCACAGATGGGTGGCTTAAACAACAGAAAGTTATTTTCTCACAGTTCTGGAGGCTAGAAGTCCAAGGTCAAGGTGCCAGCGTGGTTGGTTTCTGGTGAGAGTTCCCTTCTGGCTTACAGACAGTCACCTTCACAAAGTGTCCTCATGTGATGGAGCAAAGTAAAATAATTATGAAAAGCTGTCCATCTAGTTTTAAGGCTAAACAGAGACTGAGGCCCCCAAACATAAGGATGTCATCGTCACTTTCAATATAATTAATGTTTATAGAAATAGTTGAGACACTAGTGATTTAGATTTCATAGGACAACTATCAAGAATACAGAGAAAGAGTCAACATGTTGAACTAGATATTTCTGTGTGACTGCCTGGGTTCAGACTCCAGTTCCTTCATTTACTAGCTCTGTGATGGTGGCAATTTACCTAACCTCTCCAAGCCTCAGTTCCTCCTCTGTAAGATGTTTCTCATCAAGAGTTTCTGGGGACTCTTGAGAAAATTTAAGTGATAATCTCTATAAAGTGCTTGACATATAACTACAATTTATTGAGGACCACTATCACTTCTGTTGTTAGACTGAAAATCACATGAAAGTAATACAAGTTAGGGAAGAAAAGATATTCCTAGACACAAACTACTTGAAGTTAAAGAAAATACAAAGATTTTATTTTATATATCTGACCAAAATATTTTAGATAAAATGTCTCGATTATATGTGAAGGTAGTCTCAGAATATAGTTTAAATAAAAATAATTAAATATTTTTATAGTAGATTTAATGTGAAAAGTAGACCTTTGTCACATTACAGAAAGTTGCAACCTCAATGTAAACAATAGATGCTTTAACATAAATTCGAGTAAATAGAGTTACATTATAATGTGTTGTACTCTTAGCTTCTTTTGCATGTCAGTGTATCTTTAGAAAAAGTACAACAACCAATTAAATAGTGGATTTTTAAATAACTATTTGATGTGTGTCTAAGTCTAAAAGGCAGTACGATAGCAGAAACACGCCCTTCTTAAACTATCAGAGGTACAGTTCTCCCTGAGAAATTGTTCAGAGAACCTGTTACAGACGCATCTCACTTAGGAGGTTAGTGTGAGTGCTTGAATGGCAGGTTCCTTCGGAGACGATATTTACCCCATTTCTAGTATCACATAAACTGAAAAACTGTGTTTAAAGATACTGTACTCAGAGAGGCATGACTATTAAGAATATTTTTTATGTTTCAAAACCATTGCAGGTAAATTTTTAAGTTGAAAGAATAAAAATTTCATAAGAAAAATGGAAAATTTTCAAAAACAATTTTAAACATTGTGTCTTTTTATTTTCTTCTACCAAATAATTTATAAATATGCGACCGCCTTCCTTAATTTAAATTTCTGAACCAGCATTGGTAGTGTTCTCTAACCCTGTGAAAATAATAATTGCTATTTATTTTGCATTAAGGTTCAGAGGGTCAAAGAGAGGACATTTTGTGGATAGCCATGGCGGGGACCCATCAGATATGGGCCCTCCTGCTGGACAGTGGCAGACTCCCAAAGAAAAAGTAAGTGCTGCATGCATCTCAGCACGCTGCACTCTTTCAGTAAGTGCAGCTTCCTGGCAACGTGCACTTTCTGCTCAGCTGCGCTGGACTGTGCTGCCATCAGAAACTACCCAGGTTCTCAGTGGCTTAAAACAAGGTCTGTTTCTTGCTCGCTTGCATAGGTGTGCTGGCGAGAACTGCTCTGTCCCCAGCTGATGAAGCAGCCACCTTCTGGAGCTTTGCCAGTCATCCTGGCAGAGAAACAGAGGTGGTGAGTCGCCCACTGGCTCTTAAAGCCTCTGCTCAGAAGTGACACACATCCCTCCAGCTTACATTTCATCAGCCAGTGTCTCGGGTCGGGGCCACGCCTTTCTTTCAGGAGCCCAGAGGAGTACCAAAAGAGAACTGGAAATGTCTGGTGGGCACTTGTCTTTTAACACATCTTTCAGATATCCCCGACATTCAAATCTTTAACTACTGCATGCATAGCAGCGTAACTAGAAGTTCAGGCTTGCCGTCAGACCAGAGGTGGAGTTCCGACTCTGCCACCTGTTACCTGTGTGAGCTTCGAGAGCCACTTTCACTTTCTGAGCATTAGCTTCTTTCTATGGCTCATCTGCTTGTTTTAAAAATGAATGTTATATATCAAGAGTACAGCCTGTATTTACATAGTCAGTGTGTGCTCTGTGGTCACTGGTGGGGGTATGAGAATGTACCCGTTTCTTATCTATGGACTTGTCTTTTTAGTGAGTTAAAGAAAGGAACCTGCCTTCGGTTTGCTGGAAGTGGAAATGAAGAGAATCGAAATAATGCATATCCCCACAAGGCAGGTTTTGCCCAACCTTCAGGCCTTTCTCTGGCCTCAGAGGATCCCTGGAACTGCCTGTTTGTAGCAGATAGTGAGAGCAGCACGGTGAGAACCATCTCGCTGAAGGATGGAGCAGTGAAGCACCTCGTGGGAGGAGAAAGAGACCCCATGGTAATGAAAATTTCTTTGTCCCATGTGGCCAGACATTTTTCCAGCATGCAGTTTTCTGAATTAGGAAGTATTAATACAATGTAGGACTGTTCTTAGTTCATCCATAAGTTAAAATGCATCAAACCACAGGAAATATGAATGTAAAGAAGCACAAGTAACAGGACTGTCCAAGGAAAGTTAAACTGAAAATAATAAATGTTAAGGCGGGGGTGGGGAGGGAGAGGAGGAGAGAGGATGAAATTTTCCTGAGAGAAGAGAAAATGTGCATTAGATAGTTAATGGCAGTGTGGTGGAAAGAAGCCACTTAGTGTGGCCTGTTCCCTGCCTGTGCGTGATTAGTGCGAATAAAGTTACTTAGCACTTGAACCAAAAAAAAAGATGCAAAATTCTGTCATCTTTTCCTATTCTGAATAAGGTACTCAGCCCTGTTTATATGAAATCATATCTTTTACCCCTGCACTTACTAGCCTCTACAGCCATCTAATTTTCACTTCCTTCCCTAACAAAGTGCTGTTAAAAATGTTAACATGCTGTTTCTTTTTCTTTTAACAAAAATAAAAGAATTTATTTGCTTTTGGTGATGTTGATGGAGAAGGAATCAGTGCCAAGCTCCAGCACCCACTGGGAGTAACTTGGGACAAGAAAAGGAATTTGCTCTATGTGGCAGACTCTTACAATCACAAGGTGAGTCTTGACAGAATCACGTAACACCCTGCTTTTCATCTGTGGCATTTCAGTGCTGACAGATCTGTGTGCCTCCCACAACTGCCGCTCTAAAATGCAGAGGGAGTACCGACCTCTGACAACTAGGCACAAGCCTGTTCTGTTCTGGTCTTAGTCCTTTCTCTGCAAGGAGCTGATGGTGCCCTGAGCTAGGCTGAGGACTGAACATATTCCTACAACTATAGCCACAGGTTGTGTTTTGTAGCTCGGTGGTGCTGCTGGGCTATCCATCCAGTAAATAAGGGAAGGCGGGCAACAGGGAGATTAATATGTCAACTAACAAAATGAGCATTTTTGAGCTGTGGCAATTCCTGTAAGCAAGTAATTCCATTTTCAGCAGCATTTCCATTCTTGTTCTGTTGCATTGACTATTCAGCTGTTTCCAGTTTGTTGCATTTTTTTCTTTTATAATAATCAATGGAAAATGTTAATACTTTGTAATAAGAAACCATAAATTCAATATAATTGAGACTCAAGTCAGAATCATTTAGTTAAACAACATTAAGTAGCAAGTTCTCAGCTGATACTGGGTGCTCATGAAAAGAAAGGCCATTCTCACACACCATGGAGGTGGCCTCGTTGTGGAAAAAAATAAAAGAAAATGTTAACTCCAAAAATAATTTCATCAAAGATTGAGTCTTAAAAATAAGATGCAACTAGGAATTTTACAGGTTTAGCACTTAAACTTCTCTCCTTGGGCTGTAAATTGAGTATTTGTTTTTGTTTTTTAAGAAAATAATGGCTGTTTTTTTCCTGAGATTTGTTGAGAACATGAAATTCTCTGCTTATGTGATACTATACTTTTCTGCATGCAAAATTGATCCTCTGATATATCCATTTTTATTCTTATTTAGGTTAAAGTCGTCGATCCAAAAACAAAAAACTGTACAACATTAGCAGGAACTGGAGATGCAAGTAATGTTATCAGTTCCAGTTTTACTGAGTCAACTTTTAATGAGCCAGGAGGCTTGTGCATTGGCGAGAATGGTCAATTGTTATATGTAGCTGACACCAATAATCATCAAATTAAAGTGATGGATCTAGAAACAAAAACAGTGTCTGTGGTAAGTGTAAGTCAGCGGCTATAATTTAGAGAAGGGTCCTGAGCCCCAATGCATGACAGGCATTTTGGGTTCGGCCATCTGCACAACAAGAAAGAAGCAAGTAGGGTAGAAAGTAAATGCCCACTTCAGAGATATCTTGCTTTCTAAAAAAAAAAAGCTTCATTTGTGTCAAGAGTTTAAGACATTGGAAACTGGAGAGAATGACATGAACTTCCGGGAGAAAAGAGGCCTCGGAACTGTTGGGCGTCCCACTAGGCATGTGGCGCAGGCCCCCCCCCGAGGCAGGGAGTGCTGTGTGGCTTAGGGGGTCTTTTGTTTTTTTCAATGATCCTTAAATTAATGTCATCTTTGTTTCCTGTGATTCATCCATTACCAAATAATCTTCCAAAGGAAGCTCCAGTGCTACATTTCTCTGTACCCTGACTAGTTCTGGTTAAGTATTAAACCTATGGCCATGATGTCTTGATACATTGTATTTGCCTAAAAGAGTATGGGACTTATTTTCCTCTAAAATTCTAGAAATTTCCAAGGTAAATAAAAGCACGTAGTGTTATTACTCCTCTTGTTACCAACTGCTAGTATAAGATGGTTTTATAGTTAGCAATGAAAATTATAAGAGAATGTAGACTATAACCCACTCTACTTAATTTGGTAGGTTTGCTTAAATTCCAGCCATCTATAAACATTATAAGATGATTTTCATCTTTATGTGTTGGTAATCTTTTGCCTAGATAAAACATTTTCCTAAACCCACAAGATAATTTTGAGAACATTTAAGTAGACACATTCAACTTGAGACTAGAGTTATAATTAAGCTTCATTGACAAAGAACCTCGTTTTTTCTACTGAGTTCTAAAAATAAGCTTTCTCACAAGTACTATGAAGTATTTGTGCTTCAGTAAACAAATTATTTCTACGTCCTAGTTCCCAGTCTTCAGATCTGGAAGTACTGTGGTAGACGGCCCGTTACCAGCAGAAACACGGAAGGCTCCATTCAAGCTGCCTAAGTCAGCCCCCATCGTCTCTCTGGCCCCAGTGGCTGTACCTCCGGGCCAGACGCTTCCATTCAAGTTGAGTTTGGGCCTCCCCTCAGGAGCAAAGCTAACCGAAGGGGTATCCAGTTGCTGGTTTCTAAGTGCTGAAGGTATGAGATGAATCTTGCATGTGCAGATATTTCATAAATTCTCAATGTGTTCATCTACTACTTTATCCTTACGTGTTATGTAGTATTTTTATTCTATAGTTAGACAGCATGTAAGGGAAGTTATGTGAAAAACATAGATCCAGATCTAGCTCCTTTACTTTTCTTCCTTTTTCTAAGGAATAATGTAAATGCAAGAGTTAATCATAATTGTCTCCATTTACCATGAGGCAAGTGCAGTTAGTGTGACAGTCTCTGAAAGTTAGGTCCTTCACTAGATCTGCAAGGCACCAAAAGATGTTAACTATTCTGCACCCCTTATTTGTAAGTGAGGAGACTATTGAGCTCAAAGAGCGAAAGTGATTTACTCAAGGGCATATATATTTACACCCACTTCTGCTAGTTTTTAGTGTAGTGTCTTTTGCATTATGTTACTCCATTTCACATCATCTCTATATTACCCCCAAAATTTTTTTTAAAGACAGAGTTCAAAACTACTAGTTATACATTTGGGTATTATAAAGCTTCTATACCTTACTTTTAGTTTCTGTACACCGGTCAGCCCCTATTCACATACCACACTTTGAGTGGCACTGTTCTAGATCACTCCTGCATAAGGAATCAAGGAGAGAAGGAGGAACCAGCAAGGAAGGCTGAAAAGTAAGCAGATAGAAAGGACAGTGAGCAGCTCTATCAGGTGTCTTACAGGTCAGGTAAGAGAAGGAATAAGAATTTTTTGTCATTGATTTAATGGCAAGTAATTAGTTGATGTCTTCTACCAGAGCTGGTTCAGAGCAGTGAAGGAAATCCCTGTTTTGAGTATGTTAAAAAGAATAGGAGAAGAATTGAAGAAATCATATGTAGGCTACTATTTCAGGACTTTAGCTAAAAAGATAAAACCGAACCGTTGCTAAAAGGGAAAAAGGCATTTGCAAGACCAGCACATTTGTTATATTGATGGCAAAGTTCCAACAGAGAAAATTCTATGTGGTGGGGCTGGGTACCCTTCAGTACCTAAATCTGGTGCCTCTGCCAAGAGTGTGGACCTGTTTCCACAGTGAAGAGGAGACCCGTTGTGCGAGCCATTCTCTGAAGCCTCCGCTTCCTTGGTCCATTGGGAAGCAATGGGCATGAGCTGAGCAGGCACAAGAGAGCGGAGTGAAGGTTTTGGAGGCCTCCAGAGAACAGGATCATCCGGACATAGAGCAGGACATAGAGTGATTGATGCAGCCTACAGCTCCACGTGAGGCCACAGCTGTGGATTTGACTTCGAGCTAGCCCACATGGTGGCTGCTTTTCTCTAGCCATGTCAGGAAGATGCTAACTCTGAGTGCTAATTAAACTTAGGTTTTCAGAGTCCTGATTCAGTGTTTATTACCACTGTGCTTTCTTCAAGCACAATGATAGAAATTTCACAGGTTCTATTCTAAAGAATTTAACTAATTTTCCCCTGGAGTCTGATATTTTAAAAAATACATAGGGTTTCTTTAAAGTAACTTGATATCAGCTCCTTCCAGTTCAGTTCTTTAGTTGTTTTATTTATTATTATCTCTCATAAAACTATCTTAGAGAGATAGTCTCTATCACATGCTAAAGGCCTTTCAATGAAAATGCTGCTCACTTTATTTCAGTAGTATCATTAAGACTTGATTTACCAGTTATTAAGCCTGAAGCTGCATTTTCCTCTTTAAAGATGCCAGAGGTGAAAGTGAATGCCAAAGTCGTATCTTCAAGAATGCCTTCAGGTAGAAGAATAAAGCATTGTTGGGAGGATATGTAATTGAATACAAATGAATTACTATGATCAGACCCCAAGCAGAACCTTTGTCCTCACTCACTAATTTGTGATCTTTTAATCTAAAAACACTTCCTTGTCTGAGTTTATTCTCAAAGTATTCAGTTACTGTAAATTATGTAAAGACTTGAAAGTGTGTTTGAGCCACTGTGAACTAGTACTTTGTATCCTGAGTTTATAGTAAGGAATTTGTACACTGCTTGTTTTACGGCAGTACTTTCCAGTATCTGTAGCCGAGTGGACAACATTTTAAAAGTGTACTACTGGTGATCCAAAACTAAATTCTGCTTTCTTGTTTCTAATGTTCTTCCTCTGTTCTCCCACATGAAAGGCTCCTCAGTGCTCTCACACATTCTCACTCAAGCTCCCATTTCCTCCCAACTCCTCTTCCCTCCTGCCCTCTGGCACACTTTTCTTTTGTCCATTAGCCAGACCAGGCATAAGCCTCTTACCTGGGTATGTTCTAACAGCGTGGGCTGCTGTCTGCAACTACTCTTGGTATCCAAAACCGAGACAACAGAGAGATCTCGAAGGAGGCTGGCAACGAGGTGACTGAGCATTTAGGGAAACCACCCCCATTCACTCCTCTCAAGGGAAAGCACTGAGCCAAGCAGGATTAGGAGGACTTTTGCAGGGATCGGGTGGCCAGAGGAGTGCTGGACCCTGACCACTCCCTAGTCCTGATAGATTCAGAGCAAGCCTGGACTACAGGGTCACTATTCTAATTGTGCCCTGTCATCAGTATCTTAATTTGAAAGTCACTACAGAGCTATAATACATTTGTGCTCCCCAGATACAGTTTACTCTATAGCTTTCATATTATATTTCTCAATACATTATCTAATAAAAATGATCTATATTCTGAAGAATCCTACATTTATTTCCAGATAATAGGTTTCATTTTTAATTTTAGGGAAGAATCTATAGTCCTGTTTGCAATAATTGACTTAATGTCAATAGAAATTTATTTTACAGTATTCAAGCAAAGGAAGAATTCTAGTAATTTGATTAATTTAATATCAAGACCTATAACGTCTCATGAGTGGTCATTATATCATATTTTTATGTTTCTGTCCCTCATATAGCAAAATGCCTGGCACTTAGAAGTTTTCAGCAAATACTACTGATTAAGTGAAGCTAGTCTTCAAGAGGTTTAGCTGATTTCCTGCTTGATTATGCAATCATAATACTTTACTTTTATTTTATAGGCAACGAATGGCTTCTTCAAGGACAAATACCTTTTGGGGAAATAGAGGACATTTCCAGTCAACCAACGATCTCACTGCAGATTCCTAGAGATTGCTTGTCACTGGAAGTCACTGTGTCTGTCAGTGTGCTTCTCTATTACTGCAGCGCAGACAGCAGTGCTTGTATGATGAAGGGAATTTTATTCAGTCAGCCGTTACAGATAACTGATAAACAGCAAGCTTGTGTAACTCCAATAGAGCTGGGGTATGTATTTTAACCAGTGCAGTGGGCTCGCCAGTCAAGTCACCTGTTTCCTCCCTTACCATCTCTGTAGTTTATGAAAAGAACCTTTTTTGCCACTTTGGGAGACTGAGAAACTGGTTACTAAGTTCCTGCAACTGATACCAAAATAAAACTATGTTCCTTATTTATTATAAACAGCTCCTTCATTCTGGCTGTGTACCAGCTAAGTCACTGATGATCATTTGAACCATGCTATTATAATATATGCTGCTATATGACATGAGACTAAAGTCAACGCTATGTTACAGCATATTATCATGAGATAATTTGTAGTGAATACAATATACCAAAAATTTTAACTCTTTCTACCTTTAATAGCAAGCAGCACATTTGAATGTGTAAGTTTCTCAATAACTTTAAACAGAACCTGAGATCGTAATGTTTTATAAGGACATCTGCCACTCAAGCATAAGAAAGTCTTCTCATCACAGAAGCTTAACAGATAGCTGAGTGGTAAATATATTTAGAAGATAATTTTTAATATATTTGTCATTTTTAACATACCATTGTTGATGCCTTACAATTCTACACCGAAAAAAATTAAAGCTCGAGTTTAGGACATACAGACTCACTCTTTCTAAGTGAAGTCTTGACAGAAAATGAATGCGTCCCCAGAAATACTATGGCTTCAAGGAGAAGGGGCTCAGAAACATATTACTATCTGTGATACTATTTAATGGTAGATGATTAATTATGGCAGCTGACTATGATGCAAATGGGTATATATGTTTTCTTGGAACTTTACATTTCACTGGTAAACATTAAATAGAGATTTGTTGGGTTTTGGGTTTTTTGTTCCCACTTTCAAAATTTAAATGTTCATTTATTTTGATGTATTTAGAAATCACTTTTAAGTCTTCAAAGTATAAATCATGATGTGTGTTGTACTATTAATAGGTAAAGTATGCCCTAATATATTATCAATCTTAAAACAATAAGGCTGAAACATACCATGACTGATGAAAATATTTAGGAGCTTTTTTTTTTAACCATAAAAGAAATAGTTTTTGTTGCCTTTTCTTATTTTTACTAAAACTAATTGAACATGTTTGTCATTTAATAAGCTCACAAGATTTTAAGAACATGAGATGAACCATATTTATCTGATATTTATAGAAAATATTACATAATACTTCAAATACAGTGTTAAATTTGAAGTGCAATCTTTTATGCACTATCCTCTATCTATTTATCTATTTTAAGTTTTAAACACACTAATTCATATGTGTCCAGATCAGCTGAATTGCTGAAGGAAATGTGCAGTTCGTGACTTTGTTTTGACTTGTATCTTGCTAAAGTTATCTTCAAAGTATGAATGTAAAATTGAAAGGATCATTACCTCATAACCTTTCTCTCAACAAGAAATATGTCATTTTGTAATAAAGGATATATAACATTAATATTCTCTTCTGTGGAAAATAGGCCATACTCATTTTTAAATCCCTTTGATTTATTATACTTCTAATGTCCAATTGGACAGGAGAATACTTAGGCTTGATCTTTTCCTGCCTAAGGACATAAACAGTTTTAGTAAATTGACAGCTTTAACTTGCTGTTAATTTTTAAGAGTATCTAAATATTCTGTAATATAGCACATATATGTATTATCTATTTTCACATACATCAAAAATCTTATATTTTTCTTATTAATGTACCTTAGGTAGAGATTTAGGTTAGTATAAAGTTTGTACTTTTCTTGACTTTCAAAGTAATTTTATCACCCATCCTTATTTTTACCCAGCCACTAGTCTGTATTGCTTTTTGCATATAAAATATTATTTGTATGGATTACAGTATGATTTCTTATCAGTCATACTAAAGCAATGTAAATAGATGTGTAGAATTTACAACTAATTTAAACCTTTCACATAAAAAGAAGCACAAAATGTGTCTTTTTAAAACTTCTTGATCCTTGTCAGCCTTCTCTTTTCTATCAGGACATTTGTATGTCCTGATAGAAACTTTTAACTCACTTCTCATGCATAAATTATTCTCTTTAGCTTTTTGCCTTTCACTTTTCATGCATAAATTATTCTCTCTACTGTTTAAAAAGAACAAAATTTAGTGTCACTTTCATCAAAATGCCAGAATTGTGATATTACATACACTTTGACATATGCTTGGAATCTTTGCCCTAATTTATTGTTAGTTTTTTAGTGTATTTTTCTACCATTCTTTGTGATATCATTTCACAAATGGTAGAATATTTTTCCTCTGAAATTATACTCAATATTGATATGATCCCTGAACAGAATCTTTTCTTGAATATTCTGTCTCAAGCAAATATTTAATTTACTTCATAAGGGGAAAACTTGATAATTTAATCACCCATAAGTGTACCTTTGGCAAAGTTCTCTGACTAAAAACTAATTTCTCCTTCACCATTCTAATTAAATTATATTTACCTAAAGTGCCAGGCCTGTGGAAAGCTATAAATCTTAACACATCCTCTCCACAATTCGTGTGGACAAATGTATATGTATGTGCAGATATACATACACAGATGCAAAATTTAATTCAAATTTCTCTGAAATCCCCAAAATACATTTGAGTTAATATTCTTCACTGTTGTTCCACAGTTGAAAATACATATCTCTAATATAATTTCTGCCTGCATAAAATTTTATTATTGGTTTATATCTGCCAACTAAAGACTTCAGAAAAGCCATTATATTTCACATCATGTTTAAAAACAATCATCAAAAACTAAATTCCATAGTTACAATTGCATGACAGTACTTACAGAGGGACTATATATTTACAGAGGGACAGTGCTTCTCCAGAGTGATGAAATTATGGAGACTTTTAATCTATGTTCATTTTTTTTTCCTTTGAACAATATGTTATTTTCAAATACACCCTCCCCCCCAAAAAAAATGCTGAAAACCCTTTTTAAAGATTTCAAATGAATTAATAAGACCTTCCTATATAATAGCTCTTCTAACATCATTTTTATTGCCAAAAATCAGAACATTATCTGGAGCTTTTTGATGTGCTAGATGTCTTATGTATGTGGTCTGGTGAAGAAAGAACTAATATGGCTTTATCTCTGGGTGTCTTTATTGTGTGAGTAGTAAGGATGGACTTCATAGTCCACTTGAACTCTAGCCCTGTGAAACGGGGCTGCTATACTTATCTCAGGGGGTGCTCTGAGGATTTAGTAAAATGTGTTTGTAAAGCATTTACAAGCAACTAACTAATGAAACTGCTAGCTACTGGCTTAAAACACTGGTAATAATTGATGACCATAAACATGTGGCTTGACATTTTATTTGCAACCATAGTTTCTACAGAAAAAATACTGTTCTCCCTGCTACTTGAGAGAAAATTATTTTATAGCATATTATTATTTTATAAATTATTGTTAATGTAAAGACCTTCTGGAACTGTCATTAGTAACTTCCTTTGAGAGGCTCCAGGCAAACTCACCCTGACGCACATTCCTATAATGTTCTCTGCTGGTGCTTTACAAATTCCCCAAAGGGCCTTTCGTGCATTTTGCTCCAGTAGAACTTCATGGTAACCTGTAACTCACACTAGTGGACTTGTGTCCATCTTCCAGATGAGGAAACAGCTGTCGAATGTTGGTAACATATCTCAAGATAGAAAGTTCCCAGAAGAATGCCTGGAGCCAGAGCAGTGTCTGGAAGGAGCAGCTAGTCAGTCTGTGGATTAAAGGGAAATACTGGATGACAGCTCTTTTACTGAACACAGGTCTCCTAACTCCTAGCTCTGCTCCTAGGCTAGGGTGGGATTAAAAGTATGTATTTACTTTTAGGACTGACTACTTTGTTAATCCTTGGCAGTATTTAAATAAAACAGCTAAATTCATTAATGGCTCCGTGCTTACACTTTTCTAAGTGTTTTATATAGGTGAACTCAGTTAATCCTCACAACAACTTTGAGGGAAAAGTAATGTATTTCCTTATTTCCCTGATGAGGACGCGGAGACACAAAGTCACAAGCAGATACACTAGTGTAATGGGGACCCCGCGTGCAGGAGGTGCCAAGCCTGGGGGTCCGCCCCGCTTCCTTTGCTGTTTCACCTCTCAGCGTAGTTTTTCAAATTTTTCATAGTGACAGGTAGTAATTAGTCCAGCCAACCAACCCCAAAAGCCCTAGTGATGATTGTTTTTGAAATTTAGAATAAATCCCTTACATAATATGAGCTTTTGGGGCTTTTCATGATGCACTCTTACCCATCAGCACTTGCAACAGTCTGCAAGTTGTAATTGTTGTTCCCCAAAAGAGTTTATGTGCCCTTCTTTCTTAAAGTCAGGCATTACCCAGAGGCCTTTTTGTTTTTCTGACAGATGGCTACATTAAAGAATTAAATAGCTTTTTCACTGTTAGTTCCAACGACTCGAATTGGTCTTCAAAAAGTGATTCTAAGACCTTGTCATAAATTGTAACTGAATTCTTAGCACAGGAATGTCACAAACCTTAAGAAGCTTATTCATATTTAACAATGTTTTGTTTTAATAACTGCATTGAGCTCCAGCTTGTTCATACGTTTAAAGTCCTCACTTTACTTGCTTCATAAATAACAAGTATGTCATTTGTATGTGTACATATATGTGTGTACCGGTCCCACATGTATATGCATTTCTGTTAAAGTCTTCGGCAGCTTTAACTGTTATTAAAAATAATGAAGGATTATCCAGGTGCAAGAATGCAAACATGTTTTCATTGTTAAATAGTTTGCTGGTGTAAGTGGTAGTAGAATTTGTTAATTCTGTTATAAAATCCAGTTCTAAAATCCATAAAGAAATATACTTCAGCAGCAAACGGTAATGGTGGTGCTGTGCTTTAGAAGCAGAAATCACTGTTAATCACCAAGATTTCCTCCTCCTGTGGCACATAATGCTTTTTAAGAAAAATTCACTCCAGCCCTAAGTGACTATTTGGTCCTAAATAATTGAAAGTTGGCAAGCATGAAGAATGACGTTAAAGTCAACGCCGACTAACTGTCCCCATGCATTCACTCAGGGCAGAAAGCCTCCCCCTGTCAGCCTGCAGTTTACTCGGCTGCTCCCGGCGCCCCCAGCCCGCCAGCCCACCAGCCCTCCTGAGCAGAGGGCCGAGCGCCTCAGCAAGTGACAGCCCTTTCTGCTGCTTGGTGTGTTGATCTGTTTGAATCACTTCAAAGGTTAGAGTTTGGAAGTGAAAACCCTAGACACCTGCTGTGGAATGTTTGCCTAGCTATAGTTAGGGTTTGGTGCGCCCCTCTTTGCGGGCATGTCAGCTCTCAAGTGAACCAAGGGACATTTTGTCCTCTCTAAAGCTCCATGACCAAAAGGAAAGAATCGCAAGTATTTCTAAACTACATTCCTGCCGATACCGGCTACTGCCTACCGCCACAGCACCAGCCCACAGAGTGTCCAAGACATTTGGACCCCCACAGCCGGGGCTGAAAGAGCCCTTCCTGGCTACACAGGGACCCCAGGACCTGGTGATCTTCAGTAAGGCCGAGCTCAGCAAAAGTGCCAGCTTCTTTAAAGTTGAAAACATGAAACTGAGTTGCGTAGATAAGCAGCATTTACCTTTTGCTTTTAGTATACTTGTCTACCTTTATAACAGAGTAGAATTAAACTTCATAATGCTGATGATTAGAAGGAGGGGAAAAGATCAACCTTCAGATTTTTTTTTTTAATCTGATATGCTTATAAGAAGTATAGAGTAAGGCATACAGGGCAAAACATTAGCTGACAAACTATGATAATGAAATGTAAAAATAGAAACCAGCCTACCTAGAAATTGAATAGGCCTTTGCCAGGTAACTGTCTTCTGTTTTTAGCATTTATAGTCATTACTCTTCATCCACCAGAAGTACATTCATTCTGTCAGCATGTACAGGACCTGTTTTGCTTATCACATTCAAAGCACAAGTTTTTGGTTTGTTTTTTTATAGAGTTGAAATGTATTGTTCATGCATGCCTGTGATACTCATCAACCAAATTTACTTGTAAAAATGACAAGCAACACTTCCTCTCCATACTTTCGGCTTCCCTCTCTTTAAAAACAATAGTTTCTG